TCAAGGAAAATGTCCATGAGTTAACGTTAATAATACATATGGAAGTAATAATAGGTAGAGGAGCAGAGGGCTCCTCACCAATACTCGCCCCTCGTGGACGGCAGATGTCTCCGCTGACCGGTGCTCTCATCCTCCATGTTCCAGTCTCCAGTCTTTCCTGCCCACACCCCTCCACCCATATGCTCACTTACCTGTGCCGCTCTTGCGTCACTTTGGTTGCCGTAGCTTTGTCTATAAAGTAGCGATTTAATGTAGTACCAGGTACTGGCGGGATGCTGTTGTTTGTTCCCTGGTGGCGTTGATCACCACAGAAGCCTCTTTGAATAATTTCCGTAAGCTGCATTGTTGTTCTTTCACCTTGCGAACTCGTCGACATTGCTCACTTCACCTTGCTTTCACCCCAGTACTCGACACTCTCCACGGTATTCTCCACGACCTCACCTACCGTTCCTCCCTCACAGCGACTACACACAATGGCGGCTTCACAACCATCATGGCGCATCGCCATCGGCTGCGATGTAGGCACTCCCGTCCCCCTCGTCCCGCTTTGCGTTGAACTCGACTAACCCTCCATCACCTTCTAGGACGCCGGTGTTAGCTACAAGGAGGCCATCAAGGCTGATTTTGCCAAGGACAGCCGCGTTGCCTCTGTCGTCGACGTCGGCTCCGACGGCAAAGAGGACAAGACCGCCTACCCCCACATCGCCGTCCGCGCCGCCAAGCTCGTCGCCTCCGGCGAGGTCGACCGTGCCGTCCTGATCTGCGGCACCGGCCTCGGCGTCGCCATTTCCGCCAACAAGATCCGCGGCGTGCGCGCCGTCACCGCCCACGACTCTTTTTCGGTCGAGCGCGCCGTGCTCTCCAACAACGCGCAGGTGCTGTGCATGGGCGAGCGTGTGATCGGCCTGGAGCTGGCGCGGCGGCTGGCGCGCGAGTGGCTGGGCTACGTCTTTGACGAGACGAGCGCGAGCGCGGCCAAGGTGAAGGCCATCGGCGAGTACGAGACGGCGGCGGGCGGCATCGGCATCGGCCCCACGGAGACAGCGACGGCAGCAGATGGCTGCTAAGGGCTGCGAAGGGGCTGGCGGTTGTGGTCCGCATGATGAAAAGTCATCATAATGCTAGTCACCGCCTTGGTATGAAAACGAACACATAGAAAATACAGCAATAGTTTAAGAAAATGGTCCGTAATTTTGATACGCCGAAGATGCTCAGAGACACGTAGGCGTGTTATGTATGCGCCATTGTTGAGTCGTCATCGATTTGCCCTTTTGGTTCTCCGGTGATGTCCACTACTTTTATGGATTTATTTAAGTAGTAGTTATTTTAAAAAAGAAAAGAAGAAAGGAAGATGCGACTTGGCCAAGTGGATTGTACGAATTTCTACCTCTTGTACTACAGCGTCCCTCAGTGAGAAGGGGAATTAATACACTAAGACGCCGGAGCCGGACGCAATTTCCGTATAGAGCTAATTGGGTCTGAGTGAGAGGCCAACGGGGAAGCTACGACTGACAGTGACACCTACGTTAGGAACAAGTTCAGTCAACGGCAGGAACGACCAACTGACAGTCACCTTTCTTTCCTGTTTTACATTTTCCTTTTTTTGCTTTTCTTTTTATTTGACAGCCTCACTACACACCTACACAACGACACAACTGCATCACACGACACAATGGCTTCTGCTGTCCCCGACGTCCGCCGGCCCATTATGGGCGTGTCGACCAAGATGTACTTTACCCTCGCGCGCACCCGCAGCTACGTCGACGAGCTGCTGACACTGCTTGCTGCCGACGAGAACAAGGCCATTGTCGACACGATGGACGTCTTTGTCTGCCCAGACGCCATTGCACTGCCGTCGGTCGTCGAGCAGGTCCGTGCCTCCAGCGTCCCCCTGCTGCCGGGCGCCCAGGACTGTGCCGACGAAGACTACGGCGCCTTCACCGGGTTCGTGTCGCCGGCCGTGCTGGCCGACTGCGGTGCCCGCTTGGTCGAAGTCGGCCATGCCGAGCGCCGCCGGCTGCTGGGCGAGACGGACGCGACGACCGCCGCAAAGGCCCGGGCGGCCGCGCGCAACGGGCTGGTCCCGCTGGTATGCGTGGGCGAGCTGACGCGAGCCGACGGCGAGGTGGAGGCGTCGGCCGCCGTGGCTGCGGCGACGGTCATCGCCCAGATCACGCCGGTCCTCGACAGCGTGCCCGACGACGCCGAGGTTCTGCTGGCCTACGAGCCCGTGTGGGCCATTGGCGCTGCCCAGCCGGCGAGCGCCGCGTACGTGCGCGCCGTCGTGTCGGACATCCGTGACCACAGCCCGGCCATCCGGCGGCGCGGTGCGGCACGGACGCGCATCTTGTACGGCGGCAGTGCCGGGCCCGGGTTGTTTGCACAGCTGGGCGGGGCCGTGGACGGACTGTTTCTGGGGCGGTTCGGCCATGACCCAAAGCAGGTTCTGAAGACGGCACACGAGATTGCAGGGACAAAATGAAAGCAAGCAGGTGCGTGGACGCCTGTTGACTGCCCAGGGGGCATTGATCCACGGATCCGTCTACCAGTGTCCTGTGTTTTTGGGCAAAGACCCATTCGCCGATTATGAGCGAGAAAAATCCGCACCGAACCACAATTCACAACATCACAGGGACTCGAGAGCAGGGAACCCAGCTTGCACGACAATAGATGGAGAATCTGGACGACAAGCTTTTACAACCTCTGAGACAAGGTCTTCTTTACAAGTCATATGGCAATAAGGAAGGGGCCGGCCAAAGGGCCAAAGAGTCAAACGGTAGAGGCGAGTAAAAGTGATGTGGAGAGAACATGGCAAAAATGCATATCTAGGCACGCCAATTTTTATTTTAATTGTATCCAAGTGTGCATCAACTATTTTATCTTTAATTCTATTATAATAGTAATTACTATTATTTTCCTTTTTAATTTTCGTTCATTCTTCTTCTTAGTATTTTTCACATTGTCATTTATTACTATCATATTCTAACTTCCTTTCTTAATTATTCTTCACTTTTCTATCCTCACAATCCCCTATGTCGCTTCTAGACAGTGCAACTCCGACTGTTTCAAGACGGCCTGTCAACGAGAGTCATGCGGCGCGTAGAGTTTCCCCTGTGCAGGTTTTTCACAACCGCAACGTTTTTGGCCAGTTGTCAGCTCTTCGGTCTGAACGATCCCTACGATCCCCCCATCGTACCTTGTTGACGATCGTCATGCTCGGACACGAGCCTTGGCTGACTTCCTGGTCGATGTTTAACGACTCTGGCGACTCGATGGTCATTGGAACTCATACGTACTAGGCAATCCACACGTTTCGTACAGCTTCTATGATCGGTTTGCAGTACGCATTTTCCTCATCAATGCTGTCGTCGTACTTTCATTACTGCCCCCTCGACAGTCGGCCATCGACTGCGGAGGCCTGCAGACCCAGGTGGTCGCCAGGTTGTGTCGCGGGAAGTTTGGGCTGATGTTTCGGAGTGTTTAAGCCAGGGGTCAAGTAGGGGAGACCAGGCCCTAAGAGAGGCTCTTGGAACCCCTATTTGGGACGAGCCTCAGGAGGCTCAAGCACTGCCCGCACCCAGTCGCACCTGCCATTACTCGCCAACAACCCTAACCCCGACAGGTGCCATATGAATACCCCACAAAACATCCACAAAACAAGGGCCAAGACAAAACACGACTTCAAACCCGTCAAACTCGCTACGGCCACCTCAATACGACGCAGCGCCTCCACGACACTGGAGATGCAGAGGGACGCACAGAAGGCAGGAAGACAGGAAGACAGAAGACAGAAGACTGTGAAGCCCCAAAAGGCCCGTTTCCATTGACCTGGTCGGTGATGGAACGTACTGCGCGCCAAAGCAATTGCAAAACACAGAGTCATGACTCTGTGACCCGAAACTCGCACACACCTTTGTTTGCCCCTATCGAGATCGACGGCGCGTCCCAGACGACGACGGGCGATGGGTGATGGGCGGCTGTGCTCATCAGTGATGGGCCTTGGCTGCACGTCGTGTGGGCGCTGATGCACTGGTTGATGCTCGCGGATGGGCGCGTCGCTTGTCGCTCGTTTATGCAAACTGCCAGCTCGGCTCCCCTTGCCGCTGCTGTTTGCTGCCATTGCCTGCCCCGGTTTTCTTGTCTTCGCCCTTTGTTTATAGTTGTGCTTTTATGGCACTGCAGAAGCAGAGAAACGTCCCCTGGTGACATGAAACTTGAACCTTCTACTGCAAGCAAACAGATTTTGCGGCATAATCCATCATTGACAAGGGTCCAACGAACGACTCGTCCTCATAGCATACGAGGTACATCTCCAAGTTGTTGAGACGACTGTTTACCTATGCTTCTATCCCTCGACTTCTTCGTATTGCATCACTAAAAAGTGCAACTCTGTGCGGAGAGGAGAGAGGAGAAAGGAGATCCATACGACACGGGCCAAAACGTTGCCTGGCTCTCTGTTCGTCTCATGCCCATGTGGAACATAAGAAACAGGCATGGGGCATAACCAGAACGGAGTCCCGCCGCCGACCCCCGTACGAGAATAGACATGTCTTGGCTTCATTGACTTTTCGACTTTTTGGCACAAGAGGAAGATCGGTGTCCCCAGGCAAAAGCTTGTCGTTGAACAAGGGGCCAAGGGGATGGCTGCCCTTGCACACTGGAAGCTGGACTTTGGTGCTCTCGCATCCGTTTTTGATTCCTCTTGAAAATACCCAGTTGGTATATATAAAACACAGCCACTATCTCGTCTTTTGCATTGCCTTTTGTTTTGATTTTTCATCTCTTCTTTCTTCACCTTCTTTTCACACACGCAATTCTTTTCTCCTTTTGTTCTTTCTTTTTTCCCACACAATCTTCTTCCCTCTGGCAGGTCCCCGTTTTATTTACTTCTTCTTTGTACTCCATCCTTGATAGGCCATTTTGTGTTTACTCTTTTCTTGTCATTCCTTTTTCGTTTTTCATTTATTTATTTGTCCTCCACACGCTCTTTCACCGCGACAATGAAGTTCTTCGCCGTCCTGACTCTGGCCACCTCCGCGGTGGCCATTGCCGTCGAGCCCCGCCACCATGCTGGCAAGAAGACGACCGCCACGACTTCAGCTGCCGCCGCTGCCAATGTCAATGCCGCTGCTTCCACACTGGCTGCCTGCGAGGCGAGCGCTGCTGTCGCCAGACGCCATCACGCCGGCAAGAAGACGACTCACACGGCCACCGCTGCCGCTGCCGCTGACGCTGCCTGCGCCTCGGCCTCGGCCGCTGTTGCTGCTGACTGTGCTCAGGCTGGTGCCATTGCACGCCGCCATCACGCCGGCAAGAAGACTGGCAATGGCGGCAACAACAACAACAACGCTGCTAACAATGCGGCTACCGTGACCACGGCCGACGAGGTCGAGGCCGCTGCCGTTGCTGCTTGCCAGGCGTCTGTGCAGGCTGTCGCCAAGCGCCATCTGGACGAGATGGAGAAGCGCCACCACGCTGGTAAGAAGACGAAGCACACCACCACGGCCGCTGCCGACGCAGCTGCTGCCTCCGACACTGCCGCTGCTGATGCCGCTGCTCCTTCGGCGGCTGCGAGCAACGTCGTCGCCGCTGCCTCGTCTCTGGCTGCCTGCCAGGCCACCGCCGATGCTGTTGCCAAGCGTCACCACGCTGGCAAGAAGACCACGCCGGCTGCCACGCAGGCTGCGGCGGCCAACAACGCTGCCGCTGCCTGCGCATCCGAGTCAGCTGCGGTCACTTCCGAGTGCGCTCAGGTCGGTGCTCTGGCTCGCCGCCACCACGCCGGCAAGAAGACGTCGGGTAACAACGGCAACAACGGCAACAACGCTGCTAACAATGCCGCCACGGCCACCACTGCCGACGAGGCCGAGTCTGCTGCTGTCGCTGCTTGCCAGGCTACTGCCAACGCTGTTGCCAAGCGCCACTTTGCCGAGGTCACCAAGCGCCACCACGCCGGCCAGAAAACCAACACTGGCAACAACAATGCTGGTCACAACAACGCTGGTAACAACGCTGGTAACGCTGGTAACAACGCTGCCAACAACGCTGCCAACAACAACGCCGCCACGGGCTGCCCACCGACCACGGCTGACGCCTGTGCTGCCATTGCCCGTCGTCACCACGCTGGCCAAAAGACCAACAACGGTGGTGCGGCTGCTAACAACAATAACAACAACAACAACAATGCGGCCGATGCTGCCAACGCAGCCGAACTGGCTGCCTGCCACGCGGCGGCGGCTGTTGCCAAGCGCCACCACGCTGGCAAGAAGACCACTGGCAGTGGCAACGCGTGCCCGCAGTAGATGGCGATAATACGTGGACAGCGGAACCCCGACGATGACTGAGAGACTGTTGTGTTTATGTTATTAGCGTAGATCGCTACGAAAACAGTGAAGCCCGTGTCTCTTTTTCACGGCTCACTTTTGTATATATAAAAAATAGTGTGTGGGAAACAAAGGAGAACATCTTTTGGAGAAGATTAGGCAATACTATTCTTTTGTGTGACGTTCATTTTGTAAGCTGGGACACGACGTTAAGGCTGCAAAAAGTAGAGGCCACCCTTTCTTTTCCAATTTACTTGTTCTAGTTGCTAAGTCATACCGTGTTACGATTGATTGGCTTACGTCGCGGATCCAACTCTGGATGTTGGCGATAATACGCCTCGTCGCGCTTGTCTTTCATGTGCATATAACGGCGCATGGCTGCTTGATAGTCCTCCTCGGAAAGGAAGTTGAACGTGTCGACCACGTCGCGCGAACGGCAATCGTCATCGCCATCGTCGAGCGGTTTGCGCTCCCACAGGTCTCGGTAGATGCCTGTCTCGTGCATGGGCTCTTCCGGGTCGATGCGCACACGGTTGTCGTCGTCCCCGCGAATCGGCAGTGGACAGGACGTGGAGGAAGCGGTGGCGTCGGCGGGCGAAAGGAGAAAGTGCAAAAGCCGCTGCCTCTGATCGGTGCGAAGACGGTAGATGCGATATGTCACGTTGTCGGCGTTTGTGTGAAAATAGACGGCATCCAGCTGCTTGGGCAGGTGAACCGCCTTGGACACGGGCGAGTCCTCATGATGGTGTCCGGCGCGTCTGGCCCGCGCCGGTCGAACAAGACCACACCGCCGAAGATCCGGTCCTCGGCCCAGTAGCCCACGCCGTCCGCCACGCCATCGGGATACTGGTCGTACGCCGTGTACCAGGGGTGGACGAACAAGGTCGGTGGATAGCCCTTGCGGTAGGCCCAGTCCAGATCGCCCTTTTCTGGCCTCCATGCCATGAGCCGGTCATCTTTTGGGCGCAGTGGACTATGGTTGGTGTAGATCCAGACGGCAATGGCATGTATCACACGGGCGACCAGCTCGACGAGACGTGCTTGGAACGTCTGGGATCCAGGACGGGCCGCCTGGAAGTCAAGAACAGTCTAGGGGCTGCCGTTAGCAGAGCCAGAAATGGAGGAGTATCTGGCAGATGCACTCGTAGCCTACCGAGGCGTCTACTTGAAACGTGTCGATGGGCACGCTGGCGCGGAGTTCGTTGATCTTCGAGAGCACTGTAGACGAGAGGGCAACGTGCTCGTCAACCAGTGGGTGCCCAACGCATACCATCTCACCATCGTACACATCCATCGCCGCGCTCGCTAGTGGCAACCCATCGAGGATTTGACCGTAGGTTGTCTGCGCCACCTGGCTGCTGAGAATGTTTGCAAGAGCGTTGCGCACGACGTCGTGGTGACTGCTATGCAGGTTGCCAATGGGCAGCAAATTTCTCGAAGACATTGTTCGCTCGCTGCTGCCTTTGTTTTCTTGTGTTTTCTGACAGGGAACTGGCGACGACCGAGAACTCGAGAGAGAATTTTGGGAGAAGGTATGCCAGATGTAAAAAGCGTAAAGAATGTACAATACGAAGGCGGTTGTGCTGGTCCTGGACACTTTGGACAGCGCAAATTCGACTCATTCACCTGCCGCAGTCGCACTTGCAGAAAGGAAAAGGCCCTGAAGGATAGCGTCTCAGGGCCGGGCCGTCGCCTTTTGTGGAGACACCAGCGACGCATTAGGGGAACAGCTTAGAGGCTAAGCCCTGATGCTCCACTGGTCGTAGAAAAAGGTGTGTTGGACACAGCGGCACAACACAGCTGCAGAGGGGCCACCGAGGCCGAAACTCAGAAACACCATACTGCATCTTCGTCTTACAGTCTCGCCAGTCGTTTTTATAAGCGCTTATGATGGAAACAGCAGGAGCCGGCCTGCCAGTCGTCCTTTAGAACACTGCCACAGTGAAGAAGAGTTGGTTGTTGTAGGCGGCGCCGTTGCCTGTGATAATGTGACCAGACAGTCCTCGCTCCGTGCAGATAGTACTAGTCTGTGCTCAGTTCTGCCCTGGGGTCATCATCTGGGACGACAAAAGTTGCATTAAACGAGGTGCACACAATAATTCACATACTGCGCTATGCTCTCGGTCGAATATTCCGGTGACGGGGATCTGCGACTTGCTGCGCTTGGAGAGGCTTCTCTGACGGCTCCAACTCACCAGCCAGTACGAGCTAGACCACATCGACGACGATAAGAGGGTTGAGTCATAGACGAAAGAAGAAGAGATCGCGCAGTGACTGAAGAGTCACAGCTTCTGGGGACTCAACAGCGGCAAAAAAAAAGGCGATTCAACGTTATATTGTCCTCTCAACATCTGCTCCGCGTTGTTGATTAAGTGCCCAGAGTACAGGGACACTTTTCACCAACGCGGCCCAGCCGCCCTTGCGGTATGCAGCGTTCTACAACTAATAATACAGGTTCCTCGTTCTTACGTCCTGAGAGCCGTTCCTACGAGAATAGCACCCGCTTGCAAACTGGAAATTGGCTGTACCATTATTACTACATGAATGACTACTTGGGCCCTTTCTCGCCGTCGATGACTTTCTTTACGTCCTCGAGCGCGAGGTTCTTGTGGCTGGACCACGAGGCGGCGCCGGTCGGGCCGGGGTCGTTGAGGACGTGCACCTCGCGCCAGTTGTCGTCCTTGTCAGCGATCTCGAGGATGGTGCCGGGCGGGTACCGGAGGTCCGTGGCGACGGCCAGCATGCCGCGGGCGACGGCGTCGGGCTCGAGCGGATGGTCCTTGACGGGGTCGAGGTAGCGCAGGACGTCTGGGTGGTCCGTGAACAGGGGGGACTTGACGATGCCCGGGGCGACGCCGACGACGCGGATGCCGCTGTAGCCGTGCAGCTCGGCCATGCAGCGCACAAAGGAGCTGATGCCGCTCTTGGCCAGCTGGTAGAGGGGCGTGATGATGCTGGCCTTTTGGGCGCCGGTGCTGGACACGTGCAGCACGATGCCCGGCCGGCCGGCGGCCAGCATTTTGGTGATGGCCAAGCGCGTGAACTTGATGGGCGACAGCAGGTTGATGTCGAGCAGGCGGTAGTGGCCATCCGTGTCGGTGTTGCTCCAGAAGCCATTGTGCGACTAGAGGTCAGAGAGTGAAGGGAAGGAGGATAAAGAGCAAAGAGAAAGAAGAGCAAAAGAGAACGAACAAACGAACAACGACGGAAGGACATACTGGCTCGTAGATACCGGCGCCTGGGCACACAATGTAGGGGACGCCGCCGATTTCGCGGTCGTACACATCAAAGGACTCTTCGATCCTGTCCCAGTTGGCCACGTCGGCCTCGAAGAAATGCACCTTTGGCTGGCCAGCGGCGGCGTGTGCTGGCAGCGTCGCCAGCCAGTCCTTGGCCGTCGGGTGCAGCGCGACGTCCATCATCAGCACACTGCAGCCGGCAGCGTAGAGCGCTTTTGCAAAGGCCAGGTTGATACCTGACCCGGCGCCCGTGACGATGGCGCCCTTGCCCTTGATCTCAAGCTTCTGCGCCATCTTGTCAGGTGCTGGAAGTGGTCTTGTGGAGAAAGAGGCGCATGCCAGGAGGGCGGGCAGAAAGATGCAAGACGCAAGACACAAACGCAAGATATTTTTGTACTTTGACAGGTTCAGCTGCCTCGTGTTATAACGGCGTCGTCGTCACCGCCCGCGTCTTGCATCGATTCTCATTCCCATAAAGAGCCGCAGTCGGCCGCATTGTGTCTGTCATCGCATATCATTGCCAGTCATCTGTCACTCTCATGTCCGTCACGCCAACACTAAAGCACAGCTAAGCCTGCCGGAGAGTTGGCGTGGAACTAGCTTCGCGGCAAAGGCACCGGTAGTCCCGGCTGTACCGGCTGTCACGGCTGCCACGGCTGCACTAGGTGATGAGAGCCGGCGCGGGGTCCGATATCGAGGCCGAAAGATACTGCGACAGGAATAGGTCAAGAATTTGTTTGTGGCTGCAAGAGGGTGTTGCATCGGCATAGAGACCTATGGTATAAGTCGAAGTCGTGTGCTGGCCGAGAGAAAACCTGGAGTTTCGTTCCTTTACTGCAAGAAGACGAAACCGAAGCGGAACAACAGCCACCAGTCACCGGTCACCAGTCACCAGTCTTTAACATGACGTCCAAAGCTCTGTTTGATGTGCCGCCGGGAGCGGCCGCCCGCGTGAGCATCATTGACTCGACCCTGCGGCTGAAGAAGATGCCGGTCAAGTACCTGCTGACGCCGCCCGTCGACGGCCTGGAGTACTTGGCGCCCCTGACGACGTGGTCGTTCCTGGTGGAAAGCTCGCGGGGCGAAAAGGCGCTGTTTGACCTGGGCGTTCCGCCGGACCTGAGCCGGTTCTCGCCGGCCGTCGTGGCGAAGCTCAAGGCATCGGGCTGGGACGTCACGGCGGAGAAGAACGTGGCCGACATCCTGGCGGAAAACGGTGTGGACCCGTCCGAGATCAAGAGCATCATCTGGAGCCACTGGCACTGGGACCACATCGGCGACCCGACCACCTTTCCGTCCTCGACCGAGCTCGTCGTCGGGCCCGGCTTCAAGGCGGCCTTTGGCGCCGGCTACCCTACCATTGCCGATTCTCCCGTGCAGGAGAAGGACTGGACGTACGTGTTTTGCATCGTCTCGTTTTGAACGTGTCGTTTTCTCTGCCCCGGTGTCCTGTTTCTGACAAGCAAGTGGCCGCACCCTGCGCGAGATTGTCTTTGACGCAGAGACCGCACACGCTGCACAGTCCGCCTCGACCGCGACCCAGGCCGGCGCGTTCCGCGCCCACGACTTCTTCGGCGACGGCTCCTTCTTCCTGCTGGATACGCCCGGCCACGCCGTCGGCCACTTGGGCGCGCTGGCCCGCACGTCCACGGCGCCCGACACCTTTGTGTTTATGGGCGGCGACCTCTGCCACCACGCCGGCGAGCTCCGGCCGTCGCCGCACCTGCCGCTGCCCAGCGCGTCGCGGCTCACATCGCTGCTGCCGGACGCGGTGCGTGCCAACGCGCGCTTGTCCGCCTGCCCCGGCAGCGACCTCGACGCCTGCTTTGCGTCGCTGAATAGTAGGCGCGGCCGGCGTGCCGACGAGCCCTTCTTTGACCCGGCCATGGGCCTCGACGTGGCCGCGGCCATCGAGACCATCCGGCAGGCCCAGGCCGCCGACGCGCAGGACGACGTGTTTTTCATCTTTGCGCACGACATGACGGTCCAGGGCATAGTGGACGAGTTCCCGGCCACGCTCAACGACTGGAAGGCCAAGGGCTGGCGCGAGGCCGCGCAGTGGAAGTTCCTGGAAGAGCTGGGTCTCGCTCTGGCGCCCAAGGGAGGGGGAGGAAGCAGAGGATCAACCAGCGTTGTTTAGCCACACAGTGCAGCTGTGATATAACAATATTCGTGACATATATTATAGTGATATATTATATTTGATTCGTATCTATTAAACCAGATGTCATGTTGTACGGCAAGGTTGCTAGTCTTATTGAAGACCACTAGTGTAGTTGGCACCTCCACTAGACTGGATACAAAGCCGTGCGGTCATTACGTTAATATGATTGTATATACGATATGATATGTTTAGAAGTGAAGCGACGTAACTTAGTATTCTATGTTTTTCTGCGTATCTAAGTCGACAGATTCTAACCCAATGAAAACGGCAACGGAAATCGGAAAGCCAGAGGCAACATAAACAACAGCGCGTACGCGAACATGCGACTGTCAAAGGAAACTGGGACGGAGATGCATGTTTTCCAAAGAATGTTCAACGGATGTAAACCACCTGCAACGACACGCCGAACAGGTACGCTCTCATGAGTCCGTGCTGGTATCTCCACGACCGCCGGGCACATGGAGCCCCGTCGCTCAGTAGTACAAGTACTTGGGGTCGACCTCGTCGAGGTACCATGGGTAGTCGTTGGGGGCCTCCTCGCGGGTGGAGAAGCCGTTGCCGAGGTACTGGAAGCGGTTGCTGGTGTCGTAGGTGTAGTCAAAGTCCTCGAAGCGGGGCCGCTCGAGGGCGTGGAACCAGTGCACGCGGCTGCCGGGGTGGATGGCGGTGATGGGGCCGGTGGACCGGCCGCGCTTGAACCAGGAGCGGCAGTCACCGGCCCAGGCGGTGCGTGGCATGAAGGTGTCGATGTGCTCGGTGAAGTCGTCGACGGCGGCCGGCTTGACGGCGATGGTGCGGATGCCCTCGACCTGGGCCTTGGTGATGAGCTGCATGATGTACTTGGAGACGTTTTCGGTGATGGTGAAGACGGAGCCGTGTGAGATGGGCGCGTTGGGGCCGAGGAACACTGCGCGACCGGGGTTAGTATGGACGGGGGGATTTTCATAGGGATGGCGCAAGGATGGTTCAAGGCACCGTACTAAAGTAGTTGGGAAACGCGGGACTGGCCAGCGACAGATAGGCGCGCGGCACGTTGGGCTCGTTCCACAGGTCGGCCAGGCTGACGCCGTTGCGGCCCAGGACGGGGAAGCGGGGCGAGAAGCTGACGTCGAAGCCGGTGGCGCAGACGATGGCGTCGACGGCAATGTGCTCGCCGGACGCCAGGACAATCCCGCGGGCGTCGACGTGGTCGATGCGGGCGTCGGCGACCACGCGCACGTTGGGCTTGGCGAAGCTCTCGAGGTAGCCGACGCCGGGGGTGATGCGGCGGCAACCGACGGCAAAGTCGGGGATGATCGCGGGGCCGAGGTCGGCAGCGCGGTCGCCCAGCAGCCGGACCATGCTGCTGTGCGCCGCGGCGCGCGCGTCCCGGGCCGGCTGCCCGCCGTTGACCAGCATGCGGAACTTGGCGTTGATCTCCTTCTCGATCTGCACGACAAACGCCTTGTAGCGTTGCGGGTCCGCGCGGAACATGGCCTTTTGCTCCGCCGAGAAGACGTCGGGCAGCTCGCCGCCGCGCAGCGACGGGTAGCGCGAGGCGGCGCCGGGCGTCACCCACGTGGGCGAGCGGACCAGGTGGACGAGCTGGCGGACCTCAGGCTGGATGGCCGGCACGATCTGGATGCCCGTGGAGCCGTTGCCGATGACGGCGACGGACTTGTCGCGGAGGCTCAACGGGCCGCCGTCCGAGTCGCGCGGCCAGTTGGCGCTGTGGATCAGCTGGCCCTGGAACGTGTGCAGGCCGGCGATGGCGGGCCAGCGCCAGTTGTTGAGAATGCCGCCGGCGTTGAGTAGTATGTCGCACCAGTCGTCGGCCACCTCCTGGGTCAGCGTGTTTTCCACGCGGAGGCGCCACACGGCCTGGGCGTCGTCCCACGTGGCGCCGACAACGCGGCGATTGACCTGGATGTAGTCCGCGAGGTCATACTTGGCCACACAGTGCTCTAGGTACTGCCTGATTTCGGCGCTGGGCGAGAAGAGCTCGGCCCAGTCTGGGTTCGGCTCCCACGAGAACTGGTAGTTGTGCGAGGCTGTGTTGTCAGCACGGCTGACGGCGATTATCAAACAGGGACAAACAGGGACAAACAGGGACTTTTAAACACGACGTACGGATGTCACACTTGCACCCCGGATAGCGGTTCTCGGTCCAGGTGCCGCCCACGTCGGCATTCTTCTCGTACACGACCAGGCTGACGTTCTTCAGGTGCTTTTTTGTCTGGTAGGCCATGTTGATGCCGCTGGCGCCGGCCCCGATGGTGATGATACGCATCTTTTTGATGGTGCCCAGCGGCGTCGGCGAGACCTCGTAGACGGGACCGTGCTGCGGTGCCTGGTAATGGCCATTGATGACCTTGGGAGTTGGGTTGGCAGTCGGGCGGCCGGTCGTCGTCGTGGCGAGCACTTTGGCGTCGGCAAGGGGTTCGACCACCGCGGACCCCGTCGTTATACCAGGCACCATTGTCGAGAAGAGAGCGAGCGGATGAAGATGTATAGCGGTATGGGCTAAGAGTGGCAGAGAGGTTACGGGATGTGGATGGTGAAGTGGATGGAGTCGCCGGTATGCGAAGCGATTCCGTAAATAATGAATATAAAATATAGAATGTAAACAAGTTGGCAGCAACGGAGAAAGGAGCCGGAGAACTTGCGTCTCGAGAGGCCCCGCGTCTCAAAGCATATACTCTACTTTTGTAGTCTGTAGTGTCCGCTGCTCGCTGCCGCCGTCGTCGCCAGTCCTGCAAATTGGGAGACTGGAGAATCGTTGGCAGTGCATCGGCGCACGACCTTGGCAGAGACATTATCCGAACTGCCGTTGCCCAGTATCGGCATCGACAGGTCGCCAAGAATCTTCAAGGCCGACTGCGGTAGACTCAGAGCACATCCCTGGACGTGCTCTGTCGTTTGTCGTTTGTTACTGTGCCGGCCGCGATGTTGATCGGCAGTCGGCTGTTTCGGCTCTGTTGGCGACGCTTGTCCGATTTAGGTAATTTCAGACTCTCCAACATGGTCACGTGGGCTCTCCTCCGTTGGTCTCCGGTGACAATTGTCTGGCTTCGTTTCGGCAATGCTTTTTGTTTGTCTGTCGTAGTCGTCAGCCGACTGTGACCCGTTGACTTGCCTTGCTTCTCCTCACTTCTCTAAATTCACTTAAAGTACCACTCGGCCAACGTATCATCAGCAGTGCATATCCACCGCCGACCCTCAACCGGCACTGCCGACAGAATATCTCCACCAACGGATCACCATGTCACAGGATTACAGGATGCTGGCTTCCCCGGGTTCAACCACGTCGGCGCATACGAGCGTACGGTCTGGCAGAAGCAACAGGCGGTCGCGCATTGTGTGCGTGCCGTGCCATCAGAAAAAGGCAAGTCTGGAGCCCGGCGGCTGCGCTGTACCGCAACTGACAAACGACGACAAACGACGACTGACAATTGCCGGCTAGATCAAATGTGACCTGCAAAACAACCCGGCTGCACCATGCACGAAATGCGTCGATGCCGGCGGCGAGTGCCGGTACGTCCTGCCGGTTTGCTGATGTCCCTTGTCGTGTGATGACGTATGGCTGACGGTGACTCTGTAATGGCAGCATCCGGTCGTCGAAACGCGTCAAGAACGCCAACGCGCAGAACTCTGGTTTTGCGAGCTCGCCAAGACGAGAAGCCGGAGTGCAGAGCAATGTCGTCGGATACAGTGACCAAACCGGCAGCGGCTTGGAGCAGAGCGCCGATCTTTCGCCGGGCGCCTCAACCGCGGCAGCAGACGGCGGGGGAGGCAGAGGCGAGGAGATGTCGCTGCTGTCGTATGCAGCCGATGTCTTTGCGGGCAGCGACTACCAGCCATCGCTTCCGCAGCCGCCGCAGCGGCCATTGCCGGATCCCGACGCCGATGCGGCGCTGCGCAGCCAGGTTGTGCCGCCGACGGCGTCGCCTGCGGGACTGCACAACGCGCCCACAACGGCGACGACGACGGCGCCCAGCTACGTCGGCGACTCGGGCTTCCTGCAGATCTTCCACGGCATCGGCGCGGCCGTGATGGCCGAGCGCCAGCAGAGCTACGGCGACGAGAACAACCTGCACGGGCTGCTGGCGGCGGGGCTGCGCGACGGCCGGGACCAGGTGCCGCCGGCGGCGCTGCAGGAGAGCTATCTGGAGACGTTCTACCAGTTCCAGCACACGTGGTGCCCCATCCTCGACCGCGTCGACGGCCAGCTGCCGGCGGCGGCGCGCGAGTCGGTGCTGCTGCAGAATGCGCTGGCCCTCGTGGGCTCGCACGTGGACCCGCCGGTGCTGCCGCATGCGCGCGCCGCCGAGTACTACGAGCGGTCCAAGGTGCTCTTCTACAGCAACCACGAGAAGAACCCGCTGCTGGCCATCTCGGCACTGATGCTCTTCTACTGCTGGGGGCCGGGCCCGCCCGACGTCATGAGCATCGACACGGTCTGGTGGTGGACCGGCGTGGCCATCCGCCAGGCCCAGCAGCTGGGGCTGCATCGCGAGCCGCGGCCGGGCCAGCCGCCGCTGCCGGGGGAGACGCCGGGGCTGCGCCGGCGCATCTGGTGGACACTCTTTGTAAGCGAACGATGCGGAGACTGTATGAATCAGTTACACAACACACCACGTCCACCGCTAACATTGCCAGGCCCGCGAGCGGCTCACGAGCATCTGCATGGGCCGGCCCTGCATGATCAACGTCGACGACTGCGACGTGGCGGAGCTGACGCTGGCCGACTTCCCGCAGCCGGCGACGGACCGCGCCGAGATCTTCATCCAGTGGGTGCGGCTGTGTGCCATCATCGGGCGCGCCAGCATCTATCTGGCGCGCCGGACGCCCGACACGCCCTTCCCCGTGGCTCTGGCCACGGAACTGCAACAGTGGGTGACGTCGCTGCCGGACCACCTGCAGCTGCCGCTGCAGGGCACCACGCGCGCGGCGCCGCGCTTCGACCGCGACGTCTACCAGCTGCACCTGCCCTACCTGACGACGGTGACGCTGCTGCACCTCCGCGGCGCCTCGCACGCGCTGCCGACGCCGTACATGACGGCCGTGCTGGCGGCCGCGGTCGTCGCCCGCCTGTTTGAAGACGTCACCGCGCGCGGCTCGCTGCGGTACCTGCACGGCATCGCCGGCTGGGCCATTGCCATTGCCGTCCTGGCGCTGCTGCACGCCCGCAAGGTGCCGCGCCTCGCCCGCGCCGCCGACGCCCACATCCGCGTCCTGCGCGTCGCCCTCGACGCCATGGCCAAGCTGTGGCACTCGGCCCACGTCTTTGCCAGCGGCCTCGAGCGCATCGACCGCTTCCAGGCCGGCGGCGATGCGGCCGGCGATGTGGCCGCCGTGCGCAGCGGCTCCGTCTCCGTCTCCGTCTCCGTCCCCGGCGGCCCCAGCCCCACGGACATGGACATCGGCCTCGGCCTCGACGCGGCCCGCCACGGCGGCCCTGCTGGCCCAGTGCCCGTGCCCGAGCTGGCCCAGCACGCGGGCCTCGAGCGCGAGGGCCACGACTGGTGCCACTTTTTCCCCTACCTCACGCCCGAGACCAGCCCGCTGGTGGCCCTGCTGCTGGACCCCGTCCTGGTGCCGTCCTTCCCGGACCCCGGATGGCCCGCCGACCTGGCCTTTCAGCTGCAGGGCTTTCTGGACCCCCTCCATGATTTCTTTGCGCCCGTGTTTTGATACGGGTGGGTGGTGGATGGTGTCTCATAGCCCATCGTTGTGTGGCCATCCCCTCTCGGGTTGTCACACGTATCGCTTTGATGCTTTTTTGCATTGCTCGATGTGGCTTTCCACATTCGTCCTCCTACACTCGAATGCCAACTTTGTATTTTTGACGATAAAAATGAATTTTACAGCCTATATACCGAATATATTATTTTTTGCCTAGTGCGCCACATTCCTCCGGCCACAGTCGTGCAGTCTTGCAGTATCAAATTAGAGTATCAATTGTTAAATAGGATGTGATAGAGCCCGCGGACCTCTCACGTTACCAGGGATAGGCAAACCTCATTTCCTACTTTGGTATCCCGTGCCATGGCCTATCGTCGTTGGAGCTATCCTCCTAAGACTAGCGAGCATAAGCAGCCCATCATATTAGGAGATTTCACCAGGTGGCGAGCTTGCCGCCACTTTATGCCATGGGCATGTGCTGCAGCGATTTCCTCTCTCTTGCGTGCGCGCGGTGAAATACTTTGGCAAGAATGGACGTGAGATATTTTTGAGCGTTTTGGCGTCTCGACCGTTTGGCATCCCGGGGCGCCATCAAGCATTTGCTTGCGGTCATCTCGCCGGTGGGATTCGATTGAATAAAGATTTCGTAATGGCTACCTCTGCGACCTCCTTTCGCTTGTTGCGCATTACCGGGCGACACAAGCTTGATTATGAGGGATATGTTAGTCGAGTTCAAGGGCATAACAAGCAAGGATACATGTATGGGCCTCTGACTTTATTTCCGGCCTCGTGAAGGAACGAACGAAATGACAGGAGGTTCCTCTGCGCAACCTGATAATGGTGTAATCGATGGGTAGAAGAGGCATATTTGATAGTCGCAAACTAAAAGCATCCCGACTGTTGGAACAGTTAACCAAGTATAAGAATCGCAAGGAAACCCTTCCCAACAGGAGATATCCCTCGCCACAGAGCATAAGCTATCCCCAATTCCCTAAAGTCCATTTTGCCTGCACAGCATCAGCTTTCTCACTGCCTTCCCTACCTTCCCTGCCTCCCCTGCCTTCACTTTTATATTGCCCTTGCAAGACCCGTTCAAACATGGCCGACGAACCACCCCTGGATACTGCCGTGCCCAAAGACGGCGTACGCGGCCGCATCACCTTTGATCCCAATGCAAACGACGGTCGTCAGCCCCAGGGCGGCACTCCGTCGCGCATGCGTTCTGCGTCGCGCAGACGCTCCCGGAGCCGTGACAGTGGCAGTTCGCGCAGCCGCCTGCCTGCATCTCCGGTTGCCGGCATCCCCATTGAGTGTACGTTGTAGTGTGTCGCCGGATAAACGTTTGGACTTGACTAACATATTCTTCCCCAGACCGTACGCTCTCCATCCAAGTGTCCGAGAGCCGCCGGGCCGAGGAAGACCATGGCGCGGGCAGCAAGGTGGCGGCCGCCAATAAGGACGACCAGGACTACTTTGCCAACCTCTCCTTCCACGAGGTGGACGTGGATCAGCTCTGCCAGCAGCTGAATGTCGCCCAGGATGTCGGCTTGTCTGAGCATGCCGCATCGCAGCGCCTCGCGCGCGATGGCAAGAATACGCTCCCGCGGCCCAAGACGAACTACCTCAAGAAGATCCTGTTGTATCTCTTTGGCGGCTTCTGCTCCATCTTGTGGATCGGCGTCGTCGTCTTCTTCGTCTGCTGGAAGCCTCTGAGCAACCCTCCCTCGCCGACCAACCTCGCGCTGGCCATCTTGGTCATCATTGTCATCTTGCTGCAGGCTGGTTTCTCCGGTTTCCAGGACGCAAGTCTCTCCTCTTCTTGTTCCCGTTACATTCTCCTTTTTACGTGTCCTTCTCCGTCTTGGCAGGGTTTAATGTTTTTTCTTTCAGTGGTCGACGCAGCGAACCATGAAATCCATCCTCGGCCTCATGCCCTCGGAGACGCTGGTCCTGCGCGACGGCGCCCTCTGCAAGCTGCCCACCGCGGACCTGGTCAGCGGCGACGTCGTCCATCTGAAGATGGGCAACCGCGTGCCGGCCGACATGCGCATCGTCAGCCACTCGGGCGACCTGCGCTTCGACCGCTCCATGCTGACGGGCGAGCCGGAGGCGATTGAAGGCACGGTGGACGCCACGGACGACAACATTCTCGAGAGCCGCAACATTGCGCTCATGGGCACCATGGTCGTCAACGGCGGCGGCGTGGGCGTCGTGATTCTCACGGGCTCTCGCTCCGTCATGGGCCGCATTGCCAAGGCCACGGCCAACGCCAAAGAACGCGTCCCGCTCGTCCAGCAAGAGATCTGGCGCTTTGTCCGCATCATTGTGGTGCTCACAGTGGTGCTCGCCCTTTTGATTCTGCTGACGTGGGTCGGCTGGCTGAGGAAGGACCACTATGGATACATGAACGTCGTGGCCATGTTGAGTAAGTTTATGTCGACCGTACTTTTGTTGTTCTTGACTTTCGCTGACATACCCTTTCCACAGACGACGTCATGGGCTGCGTGGTCGCCTTCATTCCGGAAGGGATGCCGGTCGCGGTGGCATTGACGTTGATGCTCGTCGCCAAGCGCATGAAAGCCGCCGACATCTTGCCCAAAGGCCTGACGACCGTCGAGACCCTGGGCTGCGTCAATGTCATCTGCTCGGACAAGACGGGCACGCTGACCCAGAATCAGATGCGCGTCAGCTCGGCCGCATTCGTCGACCGCCCTCTCCACCCGGCGGACCTGACGCGCATGCTGGAAGAGGAAGAGGCGGACCCGGCGGCGCAGAATCCGAGTCTCGCGCGGCTGCGCCAGGCCGCGCTTCTCTGCAACGACGCCACCTTTGATCCGACGACGCTCTCATTGCCCGTGGACGATCGGACCGTCCAGGGCAACGCCACCGACGCGGCTGTGCTCCGCTGGGCCGCGGCCGGCAAGAACGCCGACGACATTATCGCCGCGTCGCCGAGGCTCTTCCAGATCGCCTTCAACTCCACCAACAAGTGGATGCTCACCATGCATCCGATGATGCGTCCGATGACCGACCACAATCATGATCACGAGAAGGCGGGCGGCAGCCCCGTGCAGGTGTTTGTCAAAGGCGCGCCAGACGTCCTGCTCCCTGCCTGCACAAGGTACTGGTCGGGCACGTCGAATTCGGTCGCGCCTCTCGGCGACGACGCCCGGGCGGCCGTCCGGGCGTACCAAGACCAGCTGTCGTCCAACGCTGAGCGAGTCATTGTGCTGTGCGAAAAGGTCATGCACCCCGTCCATGCACGCGGCACCAACGCCTTGAGCGACGAGGTGGCCCTGACGGCGATGGCGGACCTCACGCTCGTCGGTGTCCTGGGAATCACGGACCCGCCGCGCCCCGAGACCGCCCACACCGTGGCCGAGTGCCGCCGTGCCGGCGCTCGCTTCTTCATGGTCACGGGCGACTACAGCCTGACCGCGGCCGCCATCGCGCGGACCATTGGCATCTTCACGGGGGACCGCGCGCCGGACACGCTCGATGCGGTCCAGCGGGCCGCCGCGACGCGGCCGGAGGAGCTGCGCCGCGCACGGCGCGATGGCACGCACCACAGCCTGCTCCTGGACGGCGCCGGGGTCGTGCGGCTGTCGGCGGCGGACTGGGACGTCGTGTGCGAGTACGGCGAGATTGTGTTTGCGCGCACGACGCCCGAGCAGAAGCTGCGCATCGTCAACGAGCTGCGCCAGCGCGACAACGTGGTGGCCGTGACGGGCGACGGCGTCAACGACGCGCCGGCGCTGCGGGCGGCGGACGTCGGCGTGGCCCTGGTCGGCGGCAGCGACGTGGCCATCGAGGCGGCCGACCTGGTGCTGCTGGACCGCTTCAGCGCCATTGTCGACGCCGTCCGCCTCGGGCGCCTCGTGTTCCAGAACCTGCAAAAGGTCATCGCCTACCTGCTCCCCGCCGGCAGCTGGTCCGAGATCTGGCCCGTGCTGGTCAATGTCTTTTTCGGCGTGCCGCTGCCGCTCAGCGCGTTCCTCATGATTGTCGTCTGCGTCTTCACGGACCTGTTCTTGTCGCTGTCGCTGATTATGGAAAAGGAAGAGTTTGACCTGCTCTCACTGCCGCCGCGCAACCACAGGCGCGACCACCTGATCACGGCCAAGATCTACATCCAGGCCTACCTGGTCACGGGCACTATGGAGACGTGCGCCGCGCACGCCATGTTCTTCTTGTACATGTGGCGCTACGCCGGCATCCCCGTCCGCGACCTCTTCTTCCTCTTCGAGGGCTACACGGCCGGCTTCCACGGCTACACCGCGGACGAGCTGGCCCACTTCAACAATACCGGACAGTGCGTCTACTTTGTCTGCCTCGTCATGCTGCAATGGGGCAACATCCTGGCCGTGCGCAACCGGCGCATGAGCATCGTGCAGGCGGATCCCTTTACCCGGGCACGCCGCAACCCCTGGCTCGTCCTGAGCATGGCGATAAGCCTTGCCATTGCCGTCTTTGTCACGGAAGTGCCCGGCATACAGTCTCTGTTCAATACGGCAAGCGTTCCGCTCGAATTTTGGTTGATTCCCATTCCGCTGGGCGTCGGCATCCTGTGCGTCGACGAGATGCGCAAGCTGCTGGTTCGCCTGTTTCCCACGGGTCCGCTCGCTCGGATTGCTTGGTGAGAGGCAGGTGGCCAGTGACAAGTGGTCAGCCCCTAGAACAACCCAAACTGCTACCTACTCCACCTCGTGTGCCGTGCAAAGCGCCTCGACCACGTCGTCAAGATACTGCGTCGACTGCGGCAGGACCGCCGTCATCTGCATAAACGAGTGTGGAACGCCTAGGTACCTGTACGCCGTACGACAAGTGACACGTTAGCCAACGGACAAGATCGGACTGGGACATCGGTACGGCCGGATCACTTGTACGCACCGCCGCATCGTCACCTTGTTGCCCGCCGCGACGAGCTGGCGTCCGTACGCCTCGCCTTCGTCGCGCAGAATGTCGCACTCGGCCGTCGCCAGGAACGTGGCGCACAGGCCGTCCCAGCGCGGCGCCTCCAGCGGCGCCACCCACCACGCCGGCACGTGCTTCTGGCGCGCAGCCCACTCGGCAGCGGGGGCCGGTGGCAGCGCCACGCGGGCGAGGTAGTGCATGCGGTCCCAGTCCAGCAGCGCCGTGTGCCGCATGGCCCGCACCGACGCCCACGCCGAGTCCTCGGCGCGCTCGTGGCGCGCGTGGTCGTCCGGTGCCAGCGCCGGCACCGTCGCCACCAGCAGCCGCAGCGGCAGGCCGGCGTCGCGGGCGCGGTGCTGCACGACGACGGCCAAGAGGCCGCCGGCCGACGTGCCACCGATGGAGACGCGGTCGGGGCGCACATGGAGCGCGGCTGCGTTGGCTCGTACCTAGGCCGCCAGACGGGCCGGGTGTCAGTGGGCGTCTGGGGGCATCGTGCAGGGGGGCGGAACGGCAGGGTACTGACCCACTCGAACGCTTCCCAAGCATCCTCAACGTTCCGGCCAAACGGAAACTCTGAGCCGTCAGCAAGTGCCAGACACAAAACGAGACGAAAAAGAAAACAACAACCTACCAGGGCACAGCCGATAATCGACATCGACCACCACGATGGGCAGCCGGTTTCGCAGCTGTCGGCAGATGGCCGCATCCGACGTCAGGTCGCCAAACACCCAACCGCCGCCTGCAGTCAGTAGGGGGTCAGAAAGGAGTACAGAAACAAAAGGCCGTTTACAAAACCACAAGACCACAAGACCAGAAGACACGAATACGGACCGTGGAAGTTTATGTGCACCGGATACGGCCCTGGCCCGGCCGTGGACGCGTCCGGGTGGTAGACACGCACGACAAAGGCGCCCTCCGTCGAGGGCACGGTCCAGTCCTTGGTGTTGGGATTGTCGTCCTGGATCCAGGGCCGCGCCCAGGCCGCCGGGTTGGCGCGGACCTCGGCCAGCGGCACCTGGTGTGTGGCCACTTTGTGTGCCAGATTTTTGTTGTAGTACTCGACGAAGCGCGGGTCGAGGCGTCCAACCATGTCGGGATGGATGGGATTGATGGGGGTGGATGGGGGGGATGAGAGCGAAGATGAGGACGCGGCCATGTTGGTGTTGTTTAGTCTCTTATTTCTGGCTTTTCTTTTCCTTTTCTGTGTTTACTTGTTCAATAGCCAATTGTATGAAAGAAGCGATGAAGAATTACACATTGAAATACAAACGCAGCCTGGACCTCCTTCAGGATAGATTCTGGAATTAGGCCTCGTAGAAGGAGACCGGCGGCTGTCGGTATTGGGACGGCAACGAGCATCAAGCTTGTCGCTGGAGAGCCGGAGAATTCTCCACATAATTATGGGGAAGTCCAGCCATGTTAAAAGTGACTTACACCACAATACCGTGTCCGAGCAAAGACTCGGCTCTGTCTTCAACAGCGCCCACCGCACCATTTGCACGCGCGGAACTTAGGAACGAGCTGGACGGCTCACGGATGCATTGCCTGCGAACCGTCTTACTTGATCTGCAAGACGCGGCGGTCCTGAGCCAAATTCGTGGCACACATCTTATTTTCATCTCGCACCATCTAATTTCTTTGCTCGTCCACGTTACATTCATCATCTAGACGATCTGAGTCGATACTGCGCACGGGCCGCAGGCGAAAGCTGTTCCCTTGAAGGCCGGGAAAAGTGGCACAGAGGTACGACGGCTTCCAGACGGAAACTACGTCTCTCGTCTCTGTAAACCACCAGACGACAGACTATATAGTAAGCACGTTAACTTTGAAAAGTAAGGGGTTACAGAAACGAAAAGTAACGCCACAACTAAACCACCACCACCGCCACCGATCGACACTTACATTCAATTCCTGACACGAAAATGCGACGTCAAAAGGCCCAACGGCGTTGCTACCAAGGACAATGTCGGTTACGTAGCGGGCATCGGCTGCAAACCGAAACGTGATGGCCGAGCACGACGCGACATTGTTGCCAAGGTCTGTAATGGTCGAAATGGTCGAAATGGTCGATGCGGGATCCCGATCGCTGTGACGTTTGCGTGCGATCACGGCCATCGGCGACCAGCGACCTAGAATCGCGACGCGGCCGTTGTCGAAATGTATGCACAGACCGACACACCGTGCTTGTGGTCCTGCTCCCTGCCGGCAGACCTGGAGCCGCGTGACGCCGATGCCAGCCTGACTGGCCGAAATAAGATCGGCCGAGCTGAAAAGGGCGGACCTTTCATCGAAAACCTCGTCCACACGCCGGGGCGAGGGAGGGTATGGAATCAGGACCACAACGGGTGCCGGAGGAACAGACTCGGCAGACTCGGCAGACTCGGCATCCCACCCTGACCACCGGTCGATGCGGACCCCGATGCTCGTCCAGCAACAGCCATCGGCCGTCAAACGGTCGATGAACAGACCTCGCACTGCTTTCGTCTTTTCGTTTCCCCTGTTCTCCGTCAGCACGACCGAGGTACTGATTCCCGTGAACGATCTATATATACGACCAAACGGAGAATGACGTCCCATGTTGGTCGCCAACTAAGTATGCATTAGTAAGACATGTGCCGGACACAGTCAACCAAAAAAAAAAAAAAAAAGGCGGGTATGAAAGCGAACGGAACATACAACAAGTGACGGCCCGTAGTCGACGCGACGGTGACGCATTTCGCACACCTGTAGGGCGACAAAGATGATACGTTCGCCTTGCGCGAGTGGAAAATGCACCGGCACGCCACAGCGACAGCCAATGTGCCGTTGCTCGTCCGATGACGCGATCCCGTCACCGCCGAAATGTGCCGTCATCCCGACGATGCCTTCGCGAGCGCAGTATGCCGTCAGGCCGCTTGTATACACGCCCACAGTATCTCCATCCCCGAGCTCAAGAGGCAGGTATTCGCAGAGACGGCGACCTGGGTGGTGCAGCAGGCGGCCGGGATACCGTTCTGTATCAGCAATCACGAGGTCGTCAGACGCAGGCGGCCCGTCTGTCCCGTCTGTGGTCCAGAGCGACCGCGTCGGCCATGCATGATGGGGCCGGTCGGGGGTGTCATCCACGCCATCCGAGCGCATGCACAGCACCTTGATGTCGTCGCGGCACGCGACAAGCTGCGTTGCCGTGTCGTCGAAACGCAGCGTCTGCACACAGCGATCTGGGCCAGGGCGACCGACACCGCCCAGCGACGGCGACGTGGACCCGTCCTCGTACCGCAGGGTCAGAGCCTGGACGCCGAGGGTTCCCATCCAAATCTTGAGGCTCGTGATGCGGATTCCGTCACGAATCGGAATGCACACATCCCATGGACGATTGTCGCTCGTGCCATCTAGGTCGGTGTATGCCTCGCTGTGTGTCCGCTTTCGCTTCCGTGTCTGCAATTGGGGCCCCTCCTTGGCAAGAAACGCAACTCGTTGGAGGTACTTGTGGCCAAACACGCGCATGGAACGAGCAACAAGATGACCCTGCACTCCTGCACGACCATCTGCGTTTTGTGGATGGAGGTCGAGAAGGGGTTCGTCATGGATGGTCGGGTCTGTCTGTGGCAGCAAGTATGGCAATAACGACGCCGTCTCAAGCGCACGGAGAAGAGAGGCAACGAGTCCGCCGTGTACATTGCGTGCCACCTGTGCTCGGAGGTCACCCGGAAACTTGGCTACCTCTGCGAGCAAGACCTCTAGGCTGGACGCACACTCGCCCGTGGGCTCGGCCGCACGCGGCGACGAAAGCGTGGAGAGGGCCAAGGTGTATTCCTCATCGCCGCAGGGACGTGGCATGATGGACCGCGTCTGCTGACCTAGCTGATAAAGGCGAGAAAATGGCAGTGCCGTACCGGGCGGCCGGACCGCCTTCCAGCAACATTCATGTACAAAGAACAGGGCACGGTGAGGGCTGGCTTGTGTGGCATCCTGACAGGGTCGTGGGGCGATGGATACATGGGGAGATTGTGCCACGGCATGCTTCGGGGTCCTATTCCTATTCCTATTCCTATTCCTATTCCTATTCCTATTCCTATTCCTATTCCTATTCCTATTCCTATTCCTATTCCTCAGGGTCCGCCTGGGTCCGGGCACGCCAGGAGGCCATTTGCTCAAACGCAGGTCGGTCCGGAAGATGTGGACGCGAACGGGCGCCGTGGGCACACCCGACTGCGCATCGTCTGGTGCCATATTAACGACTGCGAGGTATAATTAGTAAATAGAGAGTGCCGGAATGGGGGATAAGAAAGTAGAAAAAGGGACGCCCGTACAGCCGATGATGTCACTCTCCCACTCTTCGTTATCATCGTCTCGCAAAGGTTGACCGATGCAATGCTTCCAGGCCGATCGTGGCAAGTCGCGTCGGCACAATATACAATATGGCTCAAGGGTGAGGGATATGGGGTTTGCCGTATTTCTGGCCATGGCCTCCGAAACCGGTGCAGAGCTGAGGGTGGCTCGATGCAAACGGACTGATGATGGATTAGTTGAGTATCTTGCTCCAGTCTTTGTCTGGATGTATAGCGGCCGATGCTCATGACAAATGACAAGACGCAGCAGCCGGCAGATGGGCCCCGAAGATATGAGGAAAAAAAAGGCTACGGAATCAACTAGAAACGCATGGTATGTTACGTCGTTTGTGGGAGAGATTTGTATGAATACTATGAAGAAATCAGGAATCGAGCTCAGCGGCAGGACGTACATTTGGTGGCTATGGCATGGTTTTCACGTGAGGTCTGGGTCACATACATTGCATGCCTGTGCGCCGTACTCCGTACACAACCACCCCAATAACGAGTGCTACGGGATCTAGGATTGCCCAGGAGGGCCCATTGCCGAATATGACTACATCCTGCTGGACACAAGCTTGTCCAGCGTGTTGGCGCATTACTGCGTGTAGGCGACAAACTCCTCCGACGTCGCGTTGAGCTGGCGCTCGTGCTCGCCGTTGGCGACCATCTCGTCGATGACGCGGCTGGCCACCTTGAAGGCCTCGACGCCGGCCGGCACGCCCGTGTAGATGGTCGCGTGGACAATGGCCTCGCGGATCTCCAGCTCGGTGACGCCGTTGCGCAGCGCGCCGCGGACGTGGACGCCCAGTTCGGGCCAGCTCTTGATGGCGACGAGGATGCCGAGATCTGAAGTGTTGTCAGCCTGGAGAAACGGACGGGGAAGCGGCGAGCACGTGGGCTTCTTACTCAAAAGACTGCGCTGCTGGCGGGTCAGGCCCGGGCGGGACCAGGTCTCACCCCAGCACCATCTGGTGTGGTTAGTTTCGAGTTATGGTGCGTGTCAAAAAAAAAAAGAAAAAAGAAAATCTCGCTATAGCCCAGGGACAACACACTCTGTCGTCAGTTTCTGTCCGGCAAAGGCAAACTCGCTGTTCCCGTTGTTGATGGAGCGATCGACGTAGGCGTCGCCCAGAACCTCGCGGCGGTTCTTGAGGCCCTTCTTGAACAGCTCCTTGCTTGACATGGTGGCGATGGGAATGCGGCAGACGTGGTAGCTGTGTGAGTGGATGAAATGTAGAGTAGCGTTTGTCGAAAGACGGAAAACCAAGACGAAGGGAAAAGCGACTGAACGAATATAGAGTTCAAATATTTCTTCATATGGATCATTGTTTTGTAGGCCAACTCGCCGGCTCCGCGTGCAAAATGGGATCGGCAACCCGGCTGTCGGTTGCCATCGGTAGTTGTTTCTAGCCATGAGTCCTGAGAGGTGTACCACAGCTAGATATGTGGAAAATGCTCTAACCACCCTCAAGTGTACCAACTGCATCTTTGCACGAGGCCATGGGGCCGAGGTCATCGTCCTGCTTGATGGTGTTGATTCCATAGCGGATTGGCAAGGATTGTTGTATTTTGTTTTGTTCAAAAAGGGTAAAGTACTGGAGATATAATGACATGCCCGGAGCTACAGATATCCACCCCCGCTCCCTACTCCCAGTCCTCCTTGCCGCCAATGAACCGGTAGACAACGCGCGAGTCGAGGCTCTGGCACCTGGGGTCGGCGCTCGTCGCGGCGTACGTGCGCATGCTGGCGTCGCCGAGCACCATCTGGGCGCCGACGCGCTTCGCCATATCGACGGCCAGGCCCATATCCTTTTTCATCAGCTCGACCTTGAAGCCGCCGTGGTAGCCGTGGCTGGCCGGCGCGTCCGGGCTGATGCCGGGCACCGGGTTGAACTTGTCGGCAATGTGGTTCTGGCCGGAGCCGGCGTGGATGACGCGGGCCAGCACACGCGCGTTGCAGCCGGCGCGCATGCCCATGTTCATGGCCTCGGCCGTCGCAATGGCAATGGTGCCGGACAGGTAGTTGTTGCTCAGCTTGGCGACCAGCCCCAGCGACGGCCCGCCGCACGCAATCACGCTGCGGCCGAGCAGGCCCAGCAGCGCGCGCAGCGTGGCCCAGTGCGGGTCGTCGCCGCCGTCGGACGCACCCACAAAGATGCCCAGCGTCGCGTTTCGCGCGCCCAGCACGCCGCCGCTCACGGGCGCGTCGTAAAAGGCCGCCGTCGGATGGGCCGCGCGCAGCGCCGCCAGCACGTCGAGGCTCGTCGCCGTGTCAATGGTCGAGCACTCCAGCAGGATCTTGCCGGCCAGGTCCGCGCGGAGGATGCTCGTCGGCCCGTCCAGGTACACGGCGCGCACGTGACGGCCCTCGGGCAGCATTGTGAAGATGATCTCCTGTGGTGCCAGCGCGTTGTCAGCATGTCGTCGCTTTCGTCACGCGGAATCAGCCCAGAAATGCCTACCGAGGATTGCGCAACGTCCTTTGCAGAGGCCTTTGCAGAGATACGCTCCGGGAAGCTGGCGACGAGCTCCTGCACGGCCGCCTCGTTCACGTCGTGAATGTACAGCTTGATTCCTTCTGGTGTCTTCTTGGCCAGGTTGATCACCATCTCCTTCCCCATGGCCCCAACACCGACAAATCCAATCGTCTGGGCCATTCTTTCTGAATTGTTGCGTAGAGTGTTCGGGTCACGTTTCGTAGCGGTTGGGGACTGCACTTAGAATTAAAACTAGAAAATAGGATTGGACACAAGGACTGGTATTTTCTATATTTTCTCTATTTACAAATGCTTGTGACCCGGTGTCGCCGGCTGCCGACGGCGACAACTTACACAAAATGATGTCAATCCCAACGCCCTGGCTTTCACCTTTGCCGACTACCGCAGATTCATCGGCGGTGACGCAAATGAAACGTGGCTACGTCGTACTCTCGCCGTTTAGCGTCTCGGTAAGCTAACTGCCGCGTGGCAGGAAATGATGTAAAGATATGGATGGGGAAAGCGGCCCCCAGACAGCCGGCCTGCCCCGGATTCGACGGCATGCTAAAACATGGGGAAAGGGGGAGAAAACGAGTAGCGGTATAGCCGGATATGCCGGCGCAGCTTGTGTACTTCAGTTGGGTGGAGTTGTGGAAGCCGAGAGTAATTTTGCAAAATTACGTTTTATACATGTTCAGTCTGGAAATAGGGACCCATGTGCACATGGACAAGTCAGAGCCTTGCGTCTGTATTCACTGTCTCTCGTGTATTCTGTTGTCTAACTAGGAGGAGTACTAGGTGGAATTCTAATTACCACGCGGCACCTGCCAACTCCTTGCGGAAGGCCGTCATGAGCTGTTGTGTTAGCCATAGTTTGCAACATGTGAAGCTGCCATATACTCTACGTCTTTCCTCCTCCCTTTGTTTGCTAGGCCCATACTCCCAACGTACCGGCTGTATGATGATCTTGTCGAGGTTCCAGACGCCCGACGTGGCGTAAATGTCCTTTTTGATCTCGGCCAGGACCTCGTCCTGTGTGGCTGCATGGGCGACGATGCAGCTGCCATTGAACGGCTTCTGCTGGCCCTCGATGGGCGGATGCGCCGTGGTGGCGCCTGCCGCGGACGGTCAGTGACGTTTCCGTGTACTGTCGTAACTGTATTGACAGTGATTCATTCCATCTTACCTCCCATAGTCCAGGCCCCCGACTCGACACGCGGTGCCAGACCAGCCAGATGTTCTCTGTGTATTGTGAGTATATGTACAACGTATACCGTGTGTAGTATAAGTGTCGGGCAACGTACGGACGAGCGGCCATGCGCTTCTCCAAGGCGCCGTCGTGGTCCGGAATGATGACGATCCAGTCAATCTTGGAAGCCATTGTCTTGGTTGTGATGATGGTGGTTCTTTTGCAGTGCCCAGAGTCTGGGGGGAAATGAAGCCCAAGCTGTCGTACGCAAAATGTTCAGCTACCCGGCCGTCTATATAATGTGTATGGGGTTCATCCAAACCGGCGGATACAAAACCGGGGATACAGGGGCCGACGCTGAGGGGCGAGATGAGGGGGTCAGCTTTTAGCGAGGCCGCGCTAAAGGAGAGCCGGCCGGCCCTATGCCGTTTGCCGTTTGCCGCCTACTGTGACGTTGCCGGTGTAGCCGTCGTTGCCGTTGCCTTGCTGCTGCCATTGCCGATTGCGCAGCCAAGTCAAACGACTCCACTACCCCAGAAAACAGATCTGCAGGAACGTTCTTGGAGTACATATTTGACCAGAGCTGTTGCGTCCTCCGAGGGTCCACGATCTCATGCAAGCCACCGAAGAAGTCCCTTTCCGCCCCATATTCGTCTTGTATCGTGCATCGAGCGACTCTAGGAACAATGTCCGAGCGAGACACCAAAGACGACACGGCGGCCATGCACTTTGAGTCGTCGGCGAAGCCCGAGTCTGACGACGTTGAGACGGTGCCGGCGCTGGACGCGTCGACGCTGGCCATTGAGCGGCGCATTACGTGAGTGTCCCGTGTTCTGTTTTCTACTTCTGTTTTCTATTCCCTGCCCTCCCGTCTCCCACCGCCAGACGCCTCGTTGTCGAGCAGCGCTCACTGTACAATTCGGCAACCAGCCGCAAGGTGGACTTCCGTCTGCTGCCCATCCTATGCGGCCTCTACACCATCTCGCTCATTGACCGCTCCAACCTGGGCAGCGCCCGCATCGCCGGCATCAACCAAGACATTGGGCTGTCCATCGGCAACCGGTACTCTGTCGTGGGTAAGCTGCTGTCATCGTTTGATCGACCGTTTGTTCAAAGGGACACTAACATGTGCCACTCGCCCAGTCCTCGTGTTCTACGTCGGCTACATCCTCGTCGAACTACCCAGCAACATCCTGCTCAAGTGGCTCGGCGCCGCCAACTGGCTGTCCTTTCTCAGCCTCTCGTTTGGCCTTCTCAGCGTGGGCACCGGCCTGATCCACAGCTACGGCGCCCTGGTCGTCCTGCGCATCCTGCTGGGCTGCATGGAGGCTGTACGTATATTGGTGTACCGTGCCGTCGTGTGACAAGAACAAGGTTAACCATCCACCGTTCGCAGGGCTTGTTCCCCGGCATAATCTACCTCATCTCGGCCTGGTACCGTCGGTTTGAAGTGCAGAAGCGGTAAGTAGAGGCTGTTGACTGTCACGTCTGTTGACTGTCACGTCTGTCGAATATTGAGTCTCGTCCTTGCCACTTTGTACTTGATTATTTTTATTTTATTTTAATAATTTTAATGTCCTTTCATACTAACACTTCTCCAGCATCGCCGTCTTCTTCAGCCTGGCGTCCTTTCTCTCGTCTTTTGCCAACATCCTCGCCTACGGCTTGACCCAGATCGCCGACGAGCCCGAGAAGCACGGCTGGCGCTGGATCTTCATCATCGAGGGCTGCATTACCTGCGGTCTTGCCATCCTGGCCTGGTTTGTCATCGTCGACTTTCCCGAGTCGCCGCGCAACAAGGGCTTCCTGACGGCCGAGGAACACGAGGTCCTGCGCCAGCGTCTCGTCCAGGAGCGCGGCCACGTCGAGGCGGGCAAGGTGACGGCCAAGCTGGTGCTGTCTGTTGTGTGCGAGTGGCGCCACTGGGCCATGTATGTGAAATCTTTGATTTGTCGCCTTTTCATTGTTTACCCCTCCCCCTTCTTTTCTTGTCCTCTCCAATATCATTTCTGCTAACCTCGCCAACCTCCAGCGGCTTTGTCTACTGCGGCGGCTCAGGCGGCATCTACAGCTTCCTCTTCTTCTTGCCCACCATCCTGCGCGACAGCATGGGCTACTCCCAGGTCGCCGCCTTCTGCCTCACCACGCCGCCCGCCGCAGTCGCCATTATCTACTCCATCGCCGTGTCGTACCTGGCCGACCGCATGCGCATCCGCGGCCCGTATGCGGTGCTGGGCTCCGTCGTCGCCGTCGTCGGCCTCGCCATGACGGCCTTTGTCGCGGCGCCGGGCCCGCGCTATGCCGGCACCTTTCTCGGCTATGCCGGCAGCACGAGCGTCATCTCGACCTCGCTCGCCTGGGGCCAGAACAACGTGCGCAGCGACAACCGCCGCAACGTCGTCACCGTGATCCAGATCGTCAGCGCGGCCATTGGCGGCATCTACTCGGCGCTCGTCTTCCGCCAGCAGGACGCGCCCAACTACGTGCCGGGTGTCATTGCCATGGGTCTGCTGATCCTGGTCGGCGGCATTGTATCTCTTGTCTCGTCCATCGTGTTCTTCTTCCAGAACAAGCGCGCCGACCGCGGCGAGGTCGTCCTTGAAGAGTCCCCAGACTTTCGGTATACCTGGTAGATGAGATGGGCAATGTAGTGTGCCAGGGCGACACAATGGATCCTATAGTGTATGCTGTTTGCATTTTTGTACTCCGTACAATTGTATACTGCCGAATACGTATATCTGGGACATACAGCCTTCCTATTTATCAATGGACAACGTAGAATCAGGACGTACTATCCAACCAAAAGAGAACGACAAATTGGCCCATGCTGACCGTCGAGACGCTTGTCGGTATCATACCATCCGGTAGTCAGCCGGACCGAAGCCAACGCCTTGCTTCCAGACTGCCATCATCACACGTAGAGGACAGAGATACGTCGATGGACGAGCATCGCGGTGCTTTTGAGTTGCCCGTGTCGTCGGCGTCGCTCGAACGTCGACGATCGTTTGTCCAAGTTGCCCGTCTGCTATCCGCCTCCAAGATGACGAAATAGTCTGTCGATTAACACGCACCCCTTTTACTCATCCCGCCACTCCACAATTATGGGGTCTGTAAAACGACAAGTTTCTGGGAGAATGGTGCTTACTGTCTAGGAGAATAATGTTCCTGTGGATACCGTCGTGATGGTCGCACACAGGTGGTCGTTTCTTACTAGTGTTTTTTAAACGGACCGTAAAAAGCCTTGAACCTTCTTCGTTAACGATATAACCTAGGAATAGTAACGAGACTAATAATAAAAAAATTAACGTATAATATCCTCGGGTCGTAGTCGGAAGGGCGGGGATAAACTATACTCGTAGTATTTCTTATATTTTGTAATTAGTGATTATAAAGTTAAATAACCGTATATTAGATTTAGAAGAAATTTATATATGTTAAAGTGGATTGTATGTATAGTTTCACATTTTCATAGTCGAACTTAAGTCACGTAGGGTTCTTTTCGTGACAGCGCCGCCCATAAAGGTAGACAAAGTTCGGTCAGTAGACGAACAAGGGTTTCCAAACCAAAGTAACCAGGGATAGCACAGGCCAAGGTTAACAAGTTACATCGTTTCACTCGATAACTAAGTACAATACTCGTTAATCATCGTCGTCTTTATCATCTTTATCGGAGCGAGGGAAGCACCAAAAGCAGGCACATGCCGTCGAGCCAAGCGGCCGTCGTACGCGAAGCGTCAGGTCCACGGCACTGTCTCCGCCTTCCCCTCGGCGCCATTATACATCCCGGACGCGCTGGGACTACAGTTCGTACGGCAACTTTGTCCACACCTACAGTGATCTCCCTGACACGGCTTCGTATGCCAGCGTGCCGCAGTAGTAGGCCTCTGACGGAAGCCGTCCCAGCCTAGAGCAGACCGGGAACGACGAGGATGAGTCAGGGGCGGACTTGCCTATATACAGCCCCTCGTTTTCAAACACGATTACGCTACTTCCCGCACGTCATTTTGAGTATGCGGTTCAACTTGCGATTGATATTCAGCATCGTTACACCGGCCGCATTCGGCTCCTTGGCCCAAGGCCTAGTACCACAGGGCATTAGTGCGTAGGCCTTTGCGCCATGACATATTTTCCTTCTTTGTACTTTCATTGATTCATTGACTACCCTCGGCCCGGGTTAAGTATTTACCGAGATCCCCTTTATCTCTTATCTCCTCCCCGGTAACCTGGGGTCCTACCGCGTGGAAAACGTAGAAAGGAAAAAGGGTTGATGACCAACTGGAAAGGGACTAAGCCTGTCGGCAAGTGCAGCCTTTCCCAACCGAGTAAGAAAAAAGCTCCCCTTTTAATTCGTTATAGAGCGATGTGCGTGGACCTGCCAACAATTTGAGCAGGAGATAAAAAGATTAACGACATCTGACGCCAGAGGGATGAAATACTGTACCTGGGGAATGCTGAGATATATGGGTGAAGATGCCAGTGGTTTCAAACAACTCCTATCCGGATACAGGACGACTATCATTTTCGCCTTCGTTATGGCGACCGTGTGAGTATAGCCGACCCTGAACCTTTCCTTTCTTAAAAGATCATTATCCTCACTATTTTTGTTTCTCATGTTAGTCAGGTGTCTCCACTCACGGTAGACGACACTAAAAAGTACAGTGTACTTTTAGGCGCCGCGGAAGGAAAGCTCGAGAGTCGCGTCGCCAGGCTTGACGACATGCTCGCTCAGAATCTAGCCGGGCTCGAGACTGAATCGGATTTGGTCCAGATCAACAAAGAGATACAGAGTGCCGAACAATGCTTGCGAATTTGTGCCGAATTTTCGGAACATATCGCCGAGCCCCAGCTTACGAATACGAATAAGTCTCCTAGACCCGACGACAAAGGCAACATCGAGTTCAATTTAGTATCTGAGGAGAGCACTAGTGACAGTGTACAAGAGCTCAAGGAGCGTGTTAGTCGCATGAAAGCTCAAATGGCAAGCATAGAGGACCGGCGAATCAACCATTTGGTACAGAAAGTGGCGACCACAAACAACTCAGCGACAGCAGCATCAGAACTAGCAGCAGATTTGGCAGCGATGACGAAAGAGTTCAAGTTGACGAGGGAAATGACAGACGAACTGTCATCAACAATTGCCAGGTTGGAGGTCGAAATGGCATCGTCTGTCATTGACAACCGTGGAGAAGGTGACGTCCTGCAGTACTTCGTCTCGACTAAAGGCAAAAGTCTTCGCGGTAAAAACGTAGGGACTGGTCAGAAGATACAGCAGTTTGTTGGCTATGCTGAGGATGAGACAGTGAAGCAGGTATCAAAGGATATGAGTAGGAATTCCTCTCTCAACGCTCAAACGTCTGAGGAGTTGTCGGACATTGCTGATGCTGTTAAGGCACAGGTTGTCCGCGGTGAATCAGCGCACCGTCCCGGGCCACTGGCAATTACCTACACCAGCCTTCACCCGGCCACTAGCCATGAGCCGTTGGCCAAGGTCCCGGTCAGTCGGCAAGGCCGGCTGAGATAGGGTGCCGGGCTTCAACGGTAAGTCACCGGGCATCTCTAAATAGTAATAAAGCAAGATCCATAGCCGCCATCTCTTGGACGGGGGAGAGGCCAAGGGTTGGAATTGCTGCTCTGTCTTATCTAAGGAGAGGCTACTTTAATAGCGAAAAGGTTGTCACCACAGGTAGGAAAACGTAGGTGCATGTAAGGACAAAATCTAATCCTTGGGCTTCCCTTCACTTCGCGACGGGAGGGGATATGGATTTATCGTATTTTGTTTTCTTGGTAAATGGTCTGGCGAAAGCCCGTTGATTGCCAGGTTGCCATTTGGACTACAGGGGTTGGTCGTCGGCGCAAGGGCATTAGTGGTGTAGGCCCTTATAACATAACACTCTAGAAATCGTTTGACGTGAAATCTCAATTCTGGAGAAAGAAGCAAGAAAGACAGTGAATTATATAAGTGGTGTTTATTCAGCCTAATAGATACACTCAGTGCTTAGGAGAGTCCTTTGTTCGCGTCTCTGAGGATGTGGTAGATGATAAGGTTCGGTCCGCACCGGACCAAGATGCAAGCTTAAAACCCGGCCCATGGTGTTTGAAGTCTGGACTTCGGTCCTTCCCCAAAACATTGCCGGAAGAAGATGCTGGATTTGTTTCCGAGGACGAGGTATCATGCTTAGAGGTGTGAATGCTGCTATTCGAGAAATCCCGCGATAACTGTTGGATGGACTCATCATTGAGGTACCCTCCAACTTGCCTGGTTTTCCAGCCCATTCCTCGGTTCTTGCCGTGGATGACCTTGCCGTTATTTGAAACCAAAAATTGGATGGCGTCCCCGGTCGCGTAGTTGTCAATAACGCTAACGTTCTCCCGCATATAGGTGTCTGCCTTGGAGCAGATGTCTATGCAGTGGCGCGTCGTCTGCAGCTCCTCCTCCAACCTCAAGAGATCCTCATTGTCCTCCGCAGAAGTGACCACCAGCTTTGACTTCGATATTAATCGATAAATCAGCTCTTGCTTATGTTTCTCCAGCTTTGCAGCGTTATCAAAGAGAACTTTCTTGCACTCGCGCAGGCCTTCGTTGGTGATCCTTTCAGGTATGCTCTCCGAATCATCGGACTCAGTAGATCCGCTGCCACGCTTGGACGACAACAAAAGCTGGTCAATGTGGTCGGTCAACTGGGTGCAGATTTCCACACACTTCTGCGTGGCCAACCGGTCCTCCTCTATCTGTCGTAATTCCTGGGTGTCCGTGTCAGACCCCGATGCCGCCTCTCCAAATATTGATTGCAGCCTGTCGTTAATGCTTTGGAGATGGTCTTTGAGGTCGTCTGTCGTGGTCTTCACAAGATCTTTGTAACTTGCGACAGATTCAGCTGTGAGCGAGGATTTGCGACTAATGAAATCATAAAAAGTTAGGCCTGTTTTCTTACGCTTCGGAATGTTGTGACTTACAGACTTGCGTCGAGCAAGCTGATACTAATAGTTGCCTTATAGCTTGATATCTGTTGCCGAAAGCCATTGATGTCGTCTCCCATATACTTCAACTTGGCCCAGTCTCGAAAACTCGTCCGATTTCCTCCAGATCGCGACGAACACTTCACAATCTCCTGTTCAAACTCTTTGCAGGCATTGCCGCACCGTTGCAGAGGAAGTGCCAGTGCTGAGAGATCCAAGTCGGTGGCAGACTCAATCGTATCGGCGAGCGAGCGCAGAACCGTTGTTAGATCGTTTAACTCGTCTTGGAGGTCACGAACATGTTTAGGGTGATATTGAATGCTCTTCAGCGTCTGGTAAAGTGTAACGCTGGACTGAAAAGCGACAGTTACCAAAGTCAATAGCCCTGAGGCTAGGCCTATAGCTTCTGCCATTGTATGTCGATTGTTCAAAGTACCATTTAAGAGGGTCTGGTGTTAATCAACCTCGTGGACAAGTGGATTTAATGACTCGTGAGAGAATGACGGGCACAAGCAGGTTCAAGTAAGAAGTAAGCCGAAGCCCAGTAAGCGCCCCACTTCTCGCTCGAAGCGTTTTGAAATTACCCCGCTCCCAGAAGTTTTGCTTTACTTTCCCCGCTTTTAGCGCTGCAAACGCAGTCATTTTCTACAAAAGCATAAGGATTTTCTAGGGATAGCTTCAGTCAGTGAAAAAATCAGACAAGATGGACAAAACGTGTGTGTACGAATGCACAAAATCTACTCTTTAACCTTACTCTCTAGATCTAAATGGCTCTAAATCATACTTTGTACGAGTCTATGGTAATTCAACGGGGTTTATACGGGGTCGATCCAAGGGGTCAGTCCCCGTAGGCCGCCAAACTAAGTTGGCAGGTGCCACCAGCCGACGGGATACCCCGTTGTCGCCCAGCTTACTAATACCGTACGTAACTATGGGACTACGATTATGTAAATGCCCCGCAGATCCTGGTGCCTGAGGCATCAAGGGATTCAATAGGGATTCTACGGTGTTTTACCAGATAATAATAAAAAGGCTATCAGCGCCTCACTTCTCACAGAAGAGGCGTAAGGATTAGAGTTTACTCCTCCTACCACCTATGTTCGAAATCGTTTGCCTGTGATCCTCTTAGATTAATGACTACTATTCCTAGACTCCCTTACACGACTAGAGAAAAGGACAGAAGACGATCATTGGTAAGGTAAAACACGAGGTCGTCAGCTTACATCGGGGGTCAACGGGCCGACCTTTCTTTCTGTCTCTGGCTCACCCGGCCTCCGTATCGCCGCGGAGACAAACCACCAAGTACTATATAAAACTGCTAGCAACAAGACTGCTAGCGCCGTGAGCTCTAGGCGGCGACTGTTATTTCTTTTTCTCACCTTTAGGCCGGACTACTCTATACTCCGAAGATGATTCCATCTGTCAGACGCGGGGCAAGGAGCGTCAGAAAGAACAAAATGACACTGAAAATATGCACTTGCTTGCGAAAAATAAGTACATACTTGGTAAGCCGTCGTCAAAGGATTCGAAGCATCCCGCCGGCGGCTTCTCGCGATTTAATAAACGAGCTAGCCCGCAGAATTCCAGCAACAGATTCAAGACGCCAAATCAGTCTTATAACAGAAACATCTACCTCTTAAAAGCATAGATTACTTAATTAACATGTCTTCCGGAAGGCGTACGTACTCATAAGACGGACCACACTCGCAGTCGAGACCAAGCGAGACAACTAATACTCTTAGTCATCACATCGGCCGAATGGACCGTCTTCTCTAGCGAGTTCATGAAGCTGGCCACCGCGGGGCCGGGCGTGGCCCCGGCGGCACACATGGCCCGGCGCGCCCACGAGCTGCTCCCCTTCTCCCAGGCGACGACCGTCGTGGACATCGGCTGCGGGCCGGGCCAAATCACCGACGCGGTGCTCGGTGCCCATAGCGCTGCGCTTCCACCGACGGCCAAGGTTGTCGGTGCGGACCTGAACGCGCAGATGCTGGAGCAGTACAACAAGCGTAAGGAGAGGGAGGTGGACGGGGGCCATGCCTACTGGTCCCGTGCGCAGAGCGTCCAGACCGACATCACCGACTGCGCCGCGTTTTCCGACGGTGCCGTCAGCCATATGCTCGCGGGCTTTGTGGTGTTTCTCGTCCCCGCGCCGGCGCAGGCCCTACAGGCGATGAAGCGCGCGCTGGCCCCGGGCGGGGTACTCGCCATGTCCGCATGGACGACCAGCCAGTGGATGGAGCTGATGTACTACCCGACCAAAGTGCGGCCGGACTTGGGCATGCCGACGCTGCCGAGCACGTGGTCGTCGACGGACGGGGTCAAGGCGCAGCTGGCGACGGCAGGGTTCAAGGACATTGAGGTTGTGGAGACGGAGGGGTACATGCCCTTTGACGACCATGCGGAGATTTGTCGCTTCATCTTGACCAAGATGCCTCCCAGCGCGCGGATGGTAGCACAAATGACGGACGAGGAGGTGGTGCGGACGCATGAATTGATGGTGCAGGATTTGAGAGAGTGGTATCCCTCTGTTCCGGCCAAGATGGTCGGGAAGGCGACGATTGCGTTTGCAAAGAAGTGACAGTCTTTGTTCAGTCTTTCGTTGCTGACGGGGACGACACGTTCCGGCATGCTCTCTAGATATAGATACACGTTGTCCTAGCTGGTTGTCTTGCGCGGAAAGACCGAAAACACAAAACCTCTCCACAATCTTCCCACCACAGCACCGTCCACCGCAATTAGTACTCAAACCGAAAGTCCAGCCGCTTGTTGCCCTCGTCCTTCGTGGTCTTGATGTAGTGCTCGCGCTCGGCCGGCGTCCATGCGTTCCAGATCTTGTCTCGTCGGTTGTTTTCCCATTTGTAGTAAAAGTTCACCAGCAGGTAGAGGCATATGTTGCTAATGCAGATGATGATGAGGTTTCTGTTGCCGCGCCGGTAGCGAGGGGCGTCATCTATGGTCGTGTTAGATAAACAGTGCAACAAAGGGACAGCAAAGGTACAGCACAGGACTCACCTGACCGATAGATGTTGGAATAAATGACACTGCAAGCCTGGACCGTCATGTTGTACGCGGCCGTGGACACCGTGCGCGACCGCACCGTGTTTGCGTTTCTCGACACCCAGCCGACCTGCACGGAGTGGTTGCTCGGGTAGCCCAGGAGCACGGTGACAATCGCAAAGACAATCCACCGGCTCTCGGTGGTCGTGTTTGTCGCATAGAGCGCCACGAGGCAAGGCAGCGCCCACACCTGCCCGATGATCCCGTTGAATGCCAGCTTGTGCGACCAGCCCGCAAACCGGGTGACCGTTAAGAGCGTAATCATCTTCAGTACGTTGCTGGGAATCACCAGGAGGTTGGTCTGGAACGTGCTGAAGCCAAGGCCCTTGAGACTGTGTTGTGTTAGTCAACATGTGCGTTCAAGAAACACGGGACAACGTAACCTACCTCAATGTCAGATATTGTGACGGCGGTCCCATTGGCATCTGAAAGCAAAGGCCAATCATGTACCTGTTCCGCAAATTAGTACATCGTACGAATGCCTACAGCACATCATGTTACGTACACTGGCCAGAGATGGTAGTCAGAGAGCGCCTTGAGCAGAAGCCGGGGCGTAATCGCCTGTCTGTTGTGCATCGTGCCTTTGGACGGGTCGTCGCGAATGGCTCTGTTGATGATGATGTATTCCTCTCTGTGTCATGTCAACGTGCTGGTCCTTGCCTCGAATCCGTTCCGTTCGGCAGGGGACATACCGCTCGGTGAACCAGCCCTTCTTGCCGCGCGGAAACCCGCGCGTCTGTGTCGGACTCGGCGGCATAAAGTAAAACGCCGACACGCCGACGGCCAGCGTGATGAGGCCTTCGATGAGGAACAGCCACCGCCAGCCCTCGACGCCCCGGACGCCGTCAATGTGCAGGATGCCAAACGCCATGAAGGAGCCGAGCACGATGGCGCTCGTCTCGGCCGTCCACCAAATCGACAGACGCACGGGCAGCTCGGCGCTCGTGTAGAAGTAGGACATGAAGAGGTTCATCTGTTGTTGTTGTGTTGCTGTTAGGACAGTGTCATGCGACTACGTCATGGGAAAACAAGAGATGCGGAGTACGCACGTCTGGAATAAACCCGCCCTGGAGAATGGCCAGCAAGGAGCGAGTGACGAGGAACGACGTGCGGCCACTGAGCTTGTACTGGCTCGCAGCGACAATGCTCCACAAGATCATTTGCAGCGGAATCCACCGATCGGGTCCCATCCTGTTTGTGTTTGGAGTTGCATTAGATATGAACACGAACGTGACATGAACGTGAACTTCCCCTGCTGCGCCAACATACCATTTCGAAATCAGCTGTGAAGGGATCTCGGCGCACATAAAGGACAGCGAAAAGACCGAATTGCCCAGATTGTAATCTGGGCATTGGGATGTAGAATTAGCATTCGAAGTTGCACACAAAAGACTATAAAGGGGGCATTATTAACACACACCGTTCGTGGTGAGATGGAGGTCCGTCAAAAAGTTGTTTGTCAGTGCTTGTGAGAGATTGGCACGGTCAATCTCCAGCGCCATAAAGGCAACACACGTAAAGACGAAAATGCGCAAATCAATCTTGCGGACCAGAGCCTGCGGCGAAGAGTGTCAAAAAGAGGAACTTGAAGACGGACGCCCCCCTAAGAGACACAGCGATGGGTCGCAGAAGGCCTACTTTCTCTTCCCGCCACGTCCACCGCACCGACGGATCGAACCGGTGGATGTTCTCCCAGTCTGCCCGGGGCCGGTACTCAATGGCCAGCTTGGGATCGTCAAACACGGACGGCTGCGTCGCAATCGCGTCAAGGTCCAGCGTTTCCGACTTGCGCCAGAAGAAGGTCCGTTTCTTGGAAATGGGCTCGCCCAGGGGCCGTTCGCTGATAGGAAACTGCGGCGGGACTTCGCTGACCGTCAACTGCGGTGTCTTGTCGTCGCCCGAGCTGGAGTTGGCCGGTTCATTGTCGGTGGCGGCATTGTCGGTGGCGGTTGAGGAGGAGCTCACGCTCCACAGCACGGTCGGCATCGCTGCAAAGGTATGTCGATTCACTTTGGGTTGGGTGTAAAACGGAAGAGAGTGTCTGGGAAGACACGTTTTAACGGTGGTCCTTTGAGACTGGCCGATGCGTCCTTAAGTATCTGGACCGTTCATGTCATGATGCATTTTATACAGAGCCATGGGCTCGACTCGAAACCAATTGTGACCGCCCCTGGTCCATGTTCGCGTAGAAGGCCTCGTTGACATTGCATGGTCGCGTAGAATGTCTCGTCGACGATCCAATGTCGCGTACAAAGCCTATTCATGGTAGATTCGTCATTTTGGCATGACTTACGGCCTTATATACGTCAGTGTCATAAACTATTTCGTAGACACAAATGCCACCTGGTTTGGCATCTCACATCTCACCAATGCAACTTGTGGCCTGCGATTCGTCCAAAGCGTATTGCATAATAGTCTTGGCGAAACCGACGTCGAGACGCAATTCGGAGACGACTTTGTACAATATATCCTTGCCTGCATGACTAGAAATGGCAACAACATCACCACCACAGCTGATAAATCCGACGTCTGTCCGCGGAGATGCGTCTCCGCCAGCGGTTCACCTTTGCGCGCTCCACTCCTTTGCAAGGCGCCTCTCATTGGTGTGAAATAGGGGGCGTAAGGAATACTCCGTACCGTCATTCATTGTTGGCCAACGTATGGATGGTGTCAACTGTAGGTAATTCTCCCGGCGAGCTGGGTCTACTCGCGCGGCACGTGTCGGGAGAAAGAATGTGTGCAATGCCGAGGACAGCACATTACGCCGCAATTGGACGGGCTACCTGAGATCCAGATCTGGGGGCCGCAAGCAGCCTTCATCACAAGGCCGTTAGACAAACACAAAAACATTGGACAAACACAAATCGTTGGGCATGTTAACAATCTCGCATAACGCTGCTGATTCGCCTCGACCTCACCACGGTCGTGACCAAGTCAGGTGCATCATGCTAATTATTCATTTCTTGCTCTGGCGTGACATCTACATGTCGCGCAGGATTAATATGCCAGCGAGTCCCTTCGCGAGCGATGACGCATCGAGCATCGTCTTGCTCACAACCGCAATATGACCGAGAAACGGAGAGGCGCCGGGGCTGCATATTCCGGATGAACCAAAAGGAATCAAGTAATGAACATATGAATGCAAGAAAAGACGGACGAGCAGAAAAATAAGGATGAAAGGAGGGGGTTGAGAGGGGGTTGAGAAGGTTTTTAACTGTTTAGGTCTAGTTTGTTTACATGAAGAAAAGACGGACGAGCAGACAAATAAGGATGACAGGAGGGGCTTGAGAAGGTTTTTAGCTCTTTAGGTCTAGTTTGTTTACATGGAGTCGATCCAACACGTCAACGCTTCTTCTACAACGTGAGATGCAGCAGGTGAAAAATAAAAAACAGCGACGTTAGACTCCAACTCCCTCTGAACTGGAGTGCAGCCGACTCCGCCTCACCACCTCCCTCAGCCATTAAATTGGAGCACATGGCGACATTCGCTTCGTTTTCTTTTCCTTTGGTACGGGGCCAGGGAACATCGCCCCCACGACGTTTGGCCTGGCTAGGTCGGCGCCCGGACGCCAGCAAGAACGTGGCAGGGCAAAAAGAAGCGTGGGCCATTGGCGAATACGACGCTGGAATACTACGGTGTTGGATACAAGCATTGAAGTCTATGTCATTTATTACTGTGCGGGAGGCAGGACAGCTGAAAGCAGGGAAGATGTGTGTATTATGTGTGATAAGATACGACGAACGGGCGAATGATAAAAGTAAGAGCGAACGGAAGACTTGACAATGTGGATGTTGACAAGTTGGGAAATTCTGCAGCATTTAATTGCGTACGGCATATGGGGAAGCCACAAAATAGACGAGCGTTACATTGGCGTAACGATGGAAAAGGGGGAGGAAAAAGAAAAGAAAACTTGCAAAATGTACGGTGAGAATGCCACGTTGAAACTACGTCGTACATGCCACATAATCCCGGCAAACACGACAATACGACATGGGAGGGGGCGAGGTAGAAGGGACGGAAAAGGCGAACAAGATACAGAGTTGAAGTTGTGACAAGAAATAGCATTAAAGTATGAAGGTGTCCGACGTCGGAGACACAAAAAGCGACATGGGCAAAGTCCAAAACGGCAGCACCCGACGAGACGAGGGTGCGACATAAGCAGGACGAGTTTGTTGGCATGTATGAAGCTGAAATAAGGCTCCGGTGATCGACACGGGCGCGCTACTGTCGAACGAACGTCTAAAATAGGGCGGGCCGTCGCCACATATCCGTGTAAGACATGCGGTCGGAGGAAAGGCGCTTGAGAAGGTTTTTGCGTGGTTTGTGCCGGCTGCAGAAGTAGGCTGGATGCGAAAAAGAGAGGTAAAAATAAATAATAAAAAAAGAAGAAGAAAAAAGAAGAAAAAAGAAGAAAAAAAAAAAAAGTCAAAAATCAATAGCTTTGAAAGTAGACAGGCAGACCCCACGCTTTAGAAAAGCGTTGCATAGGAGGAAGCGCAGGCCTTGGAATACGACGTAGAAAACACAGAGTAATCAGCTTGTCTTGGGTGTCGTATTCTTGTTGACCAACTGACTGGTCATATCGTGGCCGCGTTTTGTCACTTTATTTCCACGCCCGGTCTGTCGTTGAAACACCGCCCCCAACTATCCATACATCTAATCCCACAGAAGACAGGCTCGTCAAAGAATGCCTGGCAGTCGTCTTTTCGTTCAGCAGCGACCGCCCAGCGTACAGGGCATTGAGCCCGACAGTTCGCCTTGCAGCACCTCTCGTCTGTCTTTGCCCTTCCCCTCTCTTGATTGCAACGCTGCATGGATGCGAGTGAGTATCGATTCTCCAACCTCAGGCCACATGGCCCTCCAGTACGTCGTTACTGTGCAATGCTTTCTTTTTCTGTTGTTTTGGTATGAAAACGTTGCCTGCCGACCCTGGCCGAGTTGACCCTGGACGCCATGCCCAGCACACAGCATGGCTTGACCTGACCACGAGCCGACACGATCAGCAACAAACAGTTAGTGGCAGGGATGGTGTCGATACGGGGTGAACCCGATAGGAAGAGACCGCCGAAGACGGCTGCATACTGATTCAGCTGGCGATCTATTTCGTCGTTTGGGGTATATATATCAGCCTCTCCTAGTCTCCGTCCATGTCGACGATGTTTCTGCCCTGCATCCAAGAACGTCCTTCTACTTTGCACTATATCTCCACCAATATCGCCCCCAATCATCCAACTCCCACCTCCATCATGACGGCTGATCCTGTCCACTTTGTCACGTACTGTGGCTCCAAGGCCAATCGCGTGGTGCCGGTCAAGACGACGCGCGCCGTCGGCCCCAACGACTGCCTCGTCGAGGTCACGCACAGCGGCTACTGTGCTACCGACACATACTTTACGGCGGTGCCCATAGGCCTCGGCCACGAAGGCGTCGGCATCATCCGCCGCATCGGCCCCGCCGTCCAGCAGCATAAAATGTACGTCTGTCCACTCTCCAGGCCTGACCGCTTCTCCTTCTTTTTTTTTCCCTTCGTCCATTCCTACTGACGCATCGAGTGGCGACCGCGTGGGCTGGGGTTTTGTCCACGAGGCGTGCTTCAACTGCAAGCAGTGCCTATCGGGCGGCGAGATCTACTGCCTCCAGCGCAAGATGTACGGCTTCGGCAACCTGGACCAGGGCTCGCTGGCCAGCCACGCCGTGTGGGACGAGAACTTCTTGTTCCCCATCCCGGACGCCATGGCCTCGGCCATCGCCGCGCCGCTCATGTGCGCCGGGGCGAGCGTCTTTGGCGCGCTGCAGCAGCGCGGCTACAAGGCGACGGACCGCTGCGGCGTCGTCGGCGTCGGCGGCCTGGGCCACCTGGCAATCCAGTTTGCCCACAAGATGGGCATGGAGGTCGTGGTCTTTTCGACGACGGAGGCCAAGCGCGCCGCGGCCATGGCGTTTGGCGCCGACGAGTTTGTGGTGCTGCCGCCGGCCAGCACCGCCCGCCTGTCGGGCATCAAGCGACTCGACCACCTGCTCGTCTGCAGCACCGCGCAGCCCGACTACCGCGTGTTTCTGGACATTCTGGAGCCGCGCGCCACCATCTACCCGCTCACGGCGTTTGAAAAGGACGTCACCTACCCGCACCTCGACCTCATCTTCTCGGGCGTCACCATCCAGGGCACCATGATTGCCACCAAGCAGGGTTACCTCGACATGCTCAACTTTTGCGTCCGGCACGGCATCGAGTCCGTCAACCAAGAGTATCCCATGACCGTGGCCGGCATCGAGGCGTGCAACACGGACCTCAAGGCGGGCAAAATGCGGTACCGTGGCGTCTTGGTGGCCGAAGGCGCCGACCGCAGTGGCGAGACGGCCATTGAACCAGAGGCAAACAAACCTGCAGAGGCGGAGGCTGGGGCAGAGGCGGAGGCTGGGGCAGAGGCGGACGTCACCAATGTCGCAGTCGTTGTGGATGGCGAGAAGAGCGGCACCACCGGCACCAACGGCGTCAACGGAGCGAGCGGACATGTGTCTGGGTAAGAGGGCATTTAAGGGCGTAAAATTGGACGCGTGTCAGAAGAATTGCAGTCAATTTATATTGTATCTAGTTCCGGATCGGGGCGTATAAAGGACAAAGACAGAAAATCAACCGAGCTTTTGAAAATCAATTGCAACTCTACAGCCTCCACCTCGTCACTCGACTATGTACACGTACAACATCTCAAACCGCCGCCACAGTCGCCATTGCCACCTCAATCTGCGTCACAGTGTGCATCCGCGTCGACGTCACGTACACAACCGCCGCGTTGTCTGCATTGTCTGCACCGCCTGCAACGTCTGCAAAGGCAACACGGTCCGCATTCGGTTGAATGTCGTTTGCAACGCGAACGACCGCAGTCGATGTCGTTGTCGATGTCGTCGTCGTTGTCGATGTCGTTGTCGTTGTTGATGTGGTTGTCGCCGTCGTCGTCGCCGTTGTAGCCGCTCTCGTCGCATTGAAAGACGCCGACGATGTCGAAGCCGGTAGGGTGACGTGCACCGTGCTGACCACCGTCTTTGTTTCCGTCACCGGCGGCAGCGTGACCGAGACAATCGCCGTGGCCGTCGATGTTGCCTGGACCACATGCGTCGACGTCGTCTCTTGGACGTGCGTGACCACTGCTGTCGCCGTCGCTGTCGCCGTCGCTGTCGCTGTCAATGTTGCTATCGACGTCGTGTCAATCACGTGCGTCGACGTCGTCTCCTGGACGTGTGTGACCACCGCGGTCGCCGTCGCCGTCGACGTCGCATTGACCACGTTCGTCGACGTCGTCAACAGCGTCTTGCTCACCGGCACGTCGACCGTCACAGAGACGGTCACGTCCACCGTGTGCGTCTCGTTGACCGTGTTGGTCAGCGTGCGGTAGACCGTCGACGTGTGGATGACGTCCGACGTCCAGACCGCGGTCGACGTCGTGACGGAGGTCGCATTCCACGTGCGCGTGACATCGAATGTGCGCGTGATGTTTAGCGTGCGGGAGACGGACGTGGTCACGGGAATTGTCGTCGTCTGCGTTTGCGTCTGCGTTTGTGTCTGTGTCTGCGTCTTTGTCACGGTCACGTCCGAAATGATGGTCGACGTCACACGTGACACGGCCACCGTCGTGCTCGTCTCTGTCGCGAGCCGCGTCTGCGTGACCACAGCCGTTTCCGTCTTTGTCGCCGTCGCCGTCACCACGGCCGTCGACGTCGCATTGGCCCATTTCGTCGTCAGCACCGTCTCGTGAGCCACGTCCGTCGACGTCGACGTCGTCTCGGCCGTCACCCAATGCGTCGTGTAGCGGGTGCTCGTCAGCACCCGCGTCGAGCTCTCCAGGTCCGTCACGTAGATGGCGTTGGTGCTCGTCACGGTGGCCGTCGCCGTCGCCGTCTCCCAGTGCGTCGACAGCAGCGTCTTGGTCAGCGACTGTGTCGCTGTGGCCAGGCTCGTGACGTACACCATGCTCGTCGCCGTTGTGCTCGTGCTGTCAATCGTCGTCACCGTGACCGTCGCGATCGCCGTCTCGCTGACCACGACTGACACGACCGACGCCACGGTGCCCGTTGTCACGACTTTCGTCGAGGTCGTCGTCGCCGTGGTCAGCGCCGTCGCTTTCGTCTCGGTTGTCGTCGTGGTCGCTGTCGACAGCTTCGTAAACGTCTTCCACGTAAACAGCGTCGACGACGCCGGCACCAGACGCGTCACCGTGGTCGTGGCCGTCACTTGCGCTGTCACAATCGACGTCACGTACACGACCGACCCGATGGTCGTCGTTGCCACAGACCCGCCGCCAACACCGCTGCCATCGCCGCCGCCTCCGCTGTTGCTGCCACCATTTCCACTGTCACCACCCCCGCCACCCACCCCCAAATACTGCGCACCGCAGAAGCCGTGGCTGGCCTGGCATCCGTCGAGACAGTGATCCGCCGTGTTGCCGCACCAGCCGTGCTCCGAACAGCAGTCACCGTATTCGGAGCCAATACACGTCGACACGATACCGTAGCCGCATGAACCGTCTTCGGAGATGGGCACGCTATCGGCGGCGACCATCAAAACGAGACAGAGTACGGCCACGGCTGCCAGTGGCAGCGACCGGAGTCGGCGTGAAAATCCCATAGTGATCCTGGTTTTGTTGCCAAGAAGGAAAAACGAACGAATTGAAATTGATCAACCGTTGTCATAAAAATCAAAAATCGAAAAAAAAAAAAAATTCCAAACACAAAAACTAGAAACCAAGAAACCAAAATTTTCAATTGTCAAACATGGACTGAACAGCATGGACGCAACTCCTCTTTTACAAGCCTTTGCGGACAGGTGGGACAATTGGAAGATTACGCAATATGACGAGAAACTGCCAGGCGGAGCCGGCTGCAAATGGGACTAGGCATGTCGAACCGATGCGGAGCATTGGCAGATTCAGACGCCCAAATAATATTGTTAATCTATTATCATGTTGCCTTTCCGTAGATGGCTGTTCAGTAACATGCAAACAAAGAGCAGACGTTCATATGGCGCGGGCAGAACAATGGCACATCCGTGAAAAGAAATAGTCGAGCAAGTATTCAGGTACCCGTTCCTGCTAAATGGGACTAAGGACGGCAAAGCGCGGGAGAATGTGTACGTATGCTTTCACCCGTCTCTATTGTCCCGCGCCTTGACCATTGTTGGGAACGAAGGTAAACTCTTGCTGCTCCCACACACCGTCTACGGTGTGTCTTGCAGAGTAACGTCTCAGATCACACATTCTGACCTGTTACTTAAAGATACGACAACGAATTTGTGGCATGCAAAGAGGCGGGGCGTTGCAACATAGTATCTTCTCAGACGCAATGTAACAAATTCTGAGCAAATATCGAGTGGCGATGGTCGAGTGTGGATATATTACGCCGCGTACAAAGTCGTAGAACCGCAAGAATAGTGGGAAAGGCAAACATGAGATGAACGTTTGGCTGTTCAGACGGCATATATTTCCCATAGAAGTAAGAAGTGGTTACGCAAACCCTATATCAGACACCCGACCAGTAGGATCGCTGTACATGAACATCATCACGCTCGCCGGGAAAATTCAAATGCATTGTTTCCCTGCATTCGCTTGTTTCATTATGACCCAAGAGGGTGTTAATATATGTGTGGTTTGCGAAGAATGGGCGATCGTTGATGTGTCTATACCCGAAGACGGCACGCGGCAGTTGAGCCGGAAAGCAGGCCGTATAGGCGAGAAGAAACGATCTCCAGATAAAATAGGATAAATGTGACCGACTGAAAATATAACTCCAGGCCTTTAATGGGGAGGAAGAGGCATGAAATAAAATGCGAAAACCCCGTAATCTCGCTTGTGATCAGTTCAGTTTCCTACACCGTCGCTGGAAGCTCCAAAGACAAATCTTACAATAATTAAAAATAATAAAACCTTGCAAAAGTGCTACATACTGTTCCTAAGTTGAAGAAAATCCTGCAGATATAGACCCCTAGCTACAAATTTCGATTTTCCAGAAAGGATCCAAAATGCCTCCTTCCCAACTGGTGATGTGTGGTACAGTTGCCCCTGATGTAAACAGTCCCGCGAGGTCACGTGCAGATCCACACTACCTCCGTAAATCTTGACGTGCCCAAGTCGCTCCCCGCAAAGCCGAGTTTTAAACAACGTACCACAGGCGAACCTCCCTCGACATGGCAAATCCGTCTCCGCAAGCCCGCGACAACATCGTCATCCATGGTGTCGATGTCCAGCCACACACCCAGTGCGCTCACTGGCACTCGGACCGCGACATCATTGCAATCCGCCACAAGTGCTGCGGCGACTTCTATGCCTGCATCAGCTGCCACGAGGCGCTGGCCGATCACCCGTCGACGTGTTGGCCCAAGACCGAGCGTGCTACGGTCCCCGTCGTCTTGTGCGGCCGCTGCCGTCGCCAATGGACCATTGCCGAGTACATGGCCTGCAACAATGCCTGTCCCGGCTGCCAGGCGGCTTTCAACCCGGGCTGTGCGCGGCATTACGACCTCTACTTTGAGATGTGACCCGCCCGCCCAATACGACCATTGGACGCCGTTGCAATGCGTCGCCTCGTGAAGCACCACCAATCTGAAGATACGAAAAACAAATCCGATGTCATTTGCTTCTCCCGTCCTCAGGCAAGGATGGTGCAACACTGCGTGATTGGCTAGCATAACGATTACGCATAAGCATGACTCTCTTACCGAAACCGGCGTCCATCTCCAACCAACGGGCCAGGATCAGCAGAACAGCGTCACAATAGGTACGAATGTAAAACTTAAAAGTAGCGTGGTGCAACAGACAACGATCCGACGATTTCTGCAGTCCTTGCAACTCTCAACAGCACAAGAGGGCCATTTTCCCCAGACGTTGCTACCACCACCGTATGGCATCAACGGCGCATTCTGTCGGCGGCCTGCCCTACCTCATCCTCGACCGCATCTGCGACCTCCTTGATGATGAGTCGGCCGATCGACGCGACCTGTGGTCGTTCTCGTTAACCTGCCGTCGCTTTTGCGAGGCGGCCGATCGGCGCCGGTTCTGCCAGATTGTGGTCTGTGTGCAATTTGTCGACGGCGTCGATGCGACTGTTGCCCAATTGCGGGCGCTGCTCGGCCGCGACAACGGCCGCCGGTATGGCTACGTGCGCCGTCTCCGGGTCCAAGGTCTCGCCGCCGGGGCCAATCGAGATCCAGACTTGCAATCAGACCTCGACGAGCAGAGCGCCGACCAGACACCCTACGAAGCGTTTACCTACGGCACGTTTGACGTCATGCACCCGTTCTGTCGCCTGCGCGACCATGCGCCCGGGTACCTCGACCATGGCGACCGCCCGGGCTTGTGGCAGGCGTTGGCCGGCTTGATGCGCGAGCTACCCGCCCTGCGCGATGTCATCTGGACCTCGTGGCACATGCCTCGTGCCGTGCTCGAAGCAGCGCAGATGCCACGTGCGCACATGTGCCGTCTGCACATGTCCGGCTGTGCGTTCCAGCTGCGCAGTCTCATTTACGAACGTGACCGGCCGCGATCCATCAGTGCGGACGACTATGCTCTGATGACGTCCCCGGCCTTGTACAGCGTCAGTGCCCGGGTCGAGCCCTTGAACGAGGACGGCTTGCTTGATTACAACGACTACGCCCTCCAGCAGATGATGGCCGGCCTGGCGCCAAACCTGACCAATGTCTCGCTCAGCCGTGGTATCTCAGAGGAAACGTCAGCCGGGAACGACGCAGACGACTTGGGTCGGCCCGAATTCGGCGGGTTCTTCCTCGGAGACGACAATGCGGATCTCAAGAACCACTACGCCGAGAAAACGACAACCATGAAAGGCGCGCCACTCCGAAACCTCAGTCTTGCTACGGGTCTGCCCGCACACATCTTCCAATGCTGGGATACGACAAATGTGCGGCGCATGTATGTCGAATGGGATCACGACGTCGGCGCCGCCCTAGCCGAATATGCCGCGCGCGGTGAGCTTCGCTCCCTCGAGGTGCTGTGGCTCACCACCATGTTCTTCGTGCAAGAGCCAGCACGGAGTCAGGCGCACATGCTGCAGATTTTCAGCAACGCGGGACCCCTGCAGCGCCTGCACATGAAGGGCGTCTTTACCGACATTGTGTTCAACGCCATCGCGCGCCATCACGGAGCGACCCTGCGGGCCCTTTCCATTGCCACGTTTGGGGAGTACCTGTGGGACCACGACGCAGGCGAGGACGTTCCGCGAACCTTCTTCAACTGGTCTCCCAATGCCATCCTGGAACTGCCCAAGCTGTTCCCACTCCTGGAAGCCGTCTCCGTGGCCATGGATCGGACTCGGGGTGACTGCGACGAAGTCGCCTTGTACCGCGCGCTCAGCCGGATGCCCAGCCTGCAATACCTGCTGATTCGTCTCGCCTGTTCGATTGATCTAGGGGTCGACGCTGCAAGGCGATCCGAGATCTTCTCAGGGGACAACAAACGGCTGATGGCCTACGCAAACAAAGCGACCTTTGCGAACGCCGCCGTGGACGCCACGCTCGCTCGCGCCGTCTTTGACGTCGTCTCCAGCAACGGACAGGGACCGCTGCAAATGCTTCACATTCAGCCTCGATCCAGCCTGGAGTCCAATGACGCGACTTTCGAAAGCGTCATGGATAGCTTGAATCGGTCGTGGGCGCTGCATCGCCAAGCAGACGGCACCGTCGTCATCAAGCCTCTTGACGTCCTCAGGCTGCGCAGCGCCGTCGAAATGTGCACAAAAATGACCGAGGCGAACGAAACTTGCTCCACAGGTGACAAAGTGTTCTTTCCACATGTCTTCCAAGAGTTGTGGCCAGGAAACGGGCCGTGGTGGGAGAATTATACCAGTTTGCCTCTTGACTTGTCCTAGAAGCGTAGACGGAGTCGATGCTCTATATATACATAGCGTTCAAGAAATGTATACTCTTTTAACTGCTTTTTGTTATGTGATAGTCAAAATAGCACACTTCTACAAAAGGAAAAAAAAAAAAAAAAAAAAAAAAAATATGTGCCTTGTAGGGCGACAAAAATTACTCTCTCGCCGGGAATTGAACCCGGGTCCCGGGCGTGACAAGCCCGTATACTGACCACTATACTACAAGAGATTATTGCTTTGAAGCGATATGAGAAATACCACTAAGATGGCTTATTAAGTCATACCGCAATGGCGGTCTTCCTTAGCGCATTGCCACCAAACCTTGCGCCCAGAATTCCATATTCCGGGGCCTTGGTTAGCTTATCCGCCCTGTAATCGGCTTGTAAAATCAAGTCTCGAAAATGTTGATATTTTGAACAGGCGACTCATATTCACAGCCACAAAGTCCCCCCCCCCCAAAAAGTCAGATCGAAAGTGCACAAGGATGTGCTCGTTTCTTTCCCGCAGTAAACACGATGTAAACTACTCTACGCTAGGCGCCTTCGTATGCACTCTGATGTTTAAGCTGGATTGTGCAACATAAAACACTGAATAACGTTTCATTCTCTCCTTAATTTCTTTATTTGTCTATATTCTTTGCATTCTTTTTATTAGCATGAGTACAGTAAAATAAATCAAGGACGGCAGACGAAGATACGTCAAGGAGACGCGAAATATGGCGTATTCTTCTGTCGTTCGTGTTGT